GATGGCACTGTACTACGCCATATCTTTATGTTTTGCGGCAAACGACAACTTTATAAAATCAGTGTAGCAAATTTAAAAAATCGTCATATCGTTTACTTGGCAAATTTGAAGCACGAACTCGTCTTAGATTTCACATAATATCTAAATCACATCATCTTTGCACATAACAATATACTTACTTCCTATTAAAGTATAAATTCTACAAATACATTCACTCAACAATATTTAAAATAAAATGAGCCAAGAACGTTTATCGATAAAACCTACTAACATCAAAATCTTCTGGGCAGCACTAAAACCGCCATGTTTTGTGGCCAGATGACGTCACAGTGGCACGAATTTTTTGTTGACGTTTCATTTCCATAGGTTTCCTACTTCAGTGCATATAATACAGCTATACAAGACATAGTGGCATCGAGTGACATAAAAAATATTTGTTATAAAAGAGAAAACGAGGCTAAAGGCAAATAATTAAAACGATTAGTTTGGTAATTGTCAGGCTGTCGATGCACGGACATCGACGATCGCGCGGCGCGGGCGCCGGGAGGAGGACAGCGGCGCGGGGTAGCGGATTGACACCGGCTTCGTCACTTCGTGCAGCAACGCCGCCCGCGACACTTACTTGTTTATCTTGTTTTACTCTTTTTATAAACTTACCAAATACTACAGTCCACTCTTTTATTTTATACATCACCGGTCTACCCCAGAGCAGTTCGAAACATGGTCCTTCGAGCCGGGAGGCTTCGAGGCTAATAGCTGCTTATAAGACTTGCAGCTGCTCTACTCTTGTATCGAGCAGTGTGGCTCAATGTGCGTCCCGGGAGTGCAATTCCAAACACAATTCCGGGATAAAGTNTGTCGATGCACGGACATCGACGATCGCGCGGCGCGGGCGCCGGGAGGAGGACAGCGGCGCGGGGTAGCGGATTGACACCGGCTTCGTCACTTCGTGCAGCAACGCCGCCCGCGACACTTACTTGTTTATCTTGTTTTACTCTTTTTATAAACTTACCAAATACTACAGTCCACTCTTTTATTTTATACATCACCGGTCTACCCCAGAGCAGTTCGAAACATGGTCCTTCGAGCCGGGAGGCTTCGAGGCTAATAGCTGCTTATAAGACTTGCAGCTGCTCTACTCTTGTATCGAGCAGTGTGGCTCAATGTGCGTCCCGGGAGTGCAATTCCAAACACAATTCCGGGATAAAGTTTGGAGCTCTTGTTCAAGACAGGAGCCAATAAAAACGAATGCCGATGGGGTCTTTCTTGCCAAATAACATAAGCTGTAGCACGAAGCCAGCTGCTACGCACTATCCAATCTGCCAGACATCCTGTGGTGACACTTATACTGAGTTATCGTAGCTGGCCATGTGTACAATGTTAACCGTTAAAGAGTTCTTTTATTTATTTATTTATTTGGGAAACAAACAGTACAATACAAAGCATACAATATTTTTAAAAAAAATTGCTAAAACAATAACCAAATATGTTTCCACAATCAAAATCACATATAAGTAGACAGTGAACAAGAAGAATAATTTTATTTTAATTTTATAATTTTATCTGGAGAATGATCCTGCAGGTCGAGGTATGGCGACTGAATCAACATGTAAAAATTCAAATACGTACATCATAAGGAAGTGGTTCCGATTTAGCTTGCGATATTTGACAAGACAAAGTTGTTAGCCGACACTCACTACTACTTCAAGATATGGGAAACATCGAATTTAAGTGTGGAATGAGAACAAACAAACGGACAAGCCCGCTCAGCGCGCACAGTAGCTGCTTGCGTCGTGGAGCCGCCGATACGGATCGGGGTCGCGGCCGAGGAGATCGTTACTGACGTCACTGACTACCGACTGAGCGACGCATAACGATCCTTCACGACGGCTACCGTCCTGTTAGAGTTGTCCGGAGCAGACGTGCATGCGACGGTCAGTGGGGGCTGCACCTTTTTTTTCTACCTATGCTGATGTCCTTGAGAGGCTATTTCATCGTCACCCTAACATTTAGGTCACGGGGCTCAAACCTAACTTAACCTAACACTGGCCCTAGCAAGAGCCGTGCTTCGCAGAATCTACCGCCGGATCGGAAACGCGACCCACTGAGAAGATCCGGCGAGAAACTCAGTGGGCTGTATCTGTGGGTTAATTCACTCGTCGAGCCCTTCGCCGCAAGCGCTGGGTTCGACGAGGACGGTGACCGGACTGCACAGCGCACAGGCATCACAACATAGGTATACAACTTAGGTATGTGTGTGTGTACATCTGTACTGAGGATGTCACTCATGCGAAGAGTTCCTACAATCCTCCAATTTAATAGATTTTTAGGTGCTATTTGGTAGTGGTCAATGCTTCAGGGCGTTATCGGAAGTAAGATAATTAAATAACACAACTGGTTAATCGGGGCGTTTATTCGCGACTGAACTTAAAAAGCGATGGAGCTTACGGGCGCAGCCGCATGTTATGACTACGAACAATTTTGTTTACATAGCAAACTGTGTCCCTACAGAATAAATGTATCTAAAACCCAAGCAGTACATCGCAGCATCAGCACCGTCGCTATCAGGCGACCGGCCGCGACCTACTCGCGTCGACAGACTCGCAGAAGTAAAAAGCAGTCTACCTTGAACTTGTTGGAGATGGATAGATTACGGCGGCGGCAGCGTCCGTGGCCTGTCAGTGAGTCGCGGCAAGTAGTTATGAAAGACTGTTGCTCCAAAATACATTTTTAGACAAAGAAAACTTCATTCAATCGAGTTTCGTGAATGTAAATGAGCGAAGCTAACACTTAAAGCGATAGGCAGTTACAATGTGATAGAACTAGCCGTGCGGACTCACAAGAGTTCCTACTGGCGGTAGGACGTCTGAGTGGGACGAGGTGTAATTAAACTGGAGTAGCAATGACGATGCTGCAGGTCGTATGTGAATTACTTGTACCGTATTTACTAACTTTATTTACTGATGGTAGGACCTCTTGTGAGTCCGCACGGGTAGGTACCACCACCCTGCCTATTTCTGCCGTGAAGCAGTAATGCGTTTCGGTTAGAAAGGGTGGTGCAGACGTTGTAACTATACTTGAGACCTTAGAACTTATATCTTAAGGTGGGTGGCGCATTTACGTTGTGGATGTCTATGGGCTCCAGTAACCACTTAACACCAGGTGGGCTGTAAGCTCGTCTACTCACCTATGAAATAATAATAAAAATAACTCATCTTAATAAAAAAATAACAAGACCAATTTACCCAACATTTAGAGGCTAAGTTAGAGTAAGTACGCGAGACAAACTTTAAATTAATTTCAAACGCTAATGAAGCTGCGTATTCGCAACCATTGCTTGAAGTGATCCTCCCCTCATCTCCTTTCACCACCGCACCCTGTAGTGGTGTATAGTATCTTTGACTACACCAGCTGCCGCGCAGCTGAGTTCATCCCTGCTACTAGATAACACAGCTTTAGTCTATAATTCTTCTAGAAATAGTTTCTGGCGTGCACCGTCCGGACCTGGAATGGAATTCTCCTTCTCGGTGCTCTCTGATCCATGTCCTTCTTCCGACAAGGTGTCACTCCTCCGCGCTAAGCAGCGGGTTGGCTCTAACTAGCTTTTATTTTGTTTATTTATTGAATACTAGCTGACCCGGCAGACTTCGTAGTGCCTCAATCGATAAATAAAAGTCCTAAGCTTTTGTATAAAATACTTAAACTTAAAACAAACAAAAGGAATTCGTCCTACGGGGGACACATCAAAGGAAAAACAAAATTGTTATTTTTATTTCATTTCGAGCATTTTCATGTTTATCTACCTTTTAAACCTTCTCTGGACTTTCACAAATAATTCAAGACCACAATTAGACAAATCGGTCCAGCCGTTCTCGAGTTTTAGCGAGCAATTCATTTTTATATATATAGAAGAAGAAGATAGATATGATGGTGTTCTTAAATGAGAATGACCACTCACCATTAGGCACAAAAAAAGAAAAATACTTTTCTTTTTGAATTGTCACCTGTTAGAATAATCTTTATGACAGATGTTGATACTCTGACAATTGTTTTAAGAAAAGATTATTAAATTTTTGTGGCTGCAATTTCAAATCTCTTGTGTTTTTTCAATTTTTCTTTTTAATAAGCAATGTAAGTTACTTTTAAAATATTGATTTAGACATTGCGTCGTAGTTGAGTTGGACGAGCCAAATCCGACCGCAGAGCAAACCTAGCTTAAGATCTGTATTCTTCACGGTATGCGACCGGCTCAGACTGTAAAAACGAATGTTTTTAATACTGTGCTAGTTCTTGCGACCAGTGGATGTAATGTGTTACAGGAACTCGAGTGGTCTGGAGGAGTGGCAGTCGTGCTGTAAGCTGTCACCGAGCTGTTCCTTGAAGCTGTTGAAGATGTCCGTGCGTTTTACAAAAAGCATTGCGTTCACAAAATACGATCTATTAAAAGTTATTAAACTTTTTGTGAGAACCAGGAAGAAAAGAACAAACAGATGCAGACACAGCCCATATCTACATAATATATCGATCATACTGACTGTAATCCGGACTGCACATAGGCTTTTGCCATCTAACGCAGACGAGTTTATCTGATGATAAGTGGTTACCGTCGATTTTGGAGATCAGCAACCAAATCGAAATGATTTCTGAAACTGGATGAGCACAGCAGTTCCATGCAGGTCTCCTTTGGAGGCGCTCGGGTAACTGTTAGGAAATCCCACCCCTCCTGGCTGAGCCCTTGCTCGCCCATCTGCCCTGGTAAAACTGAAAAGGCCTCCAGACCACCAGTAATCTCTCCAACCTAAAAAAAAGATTCCGGCAGTGAGGGGCGCTGATAGAGACGAAATGATGAGAAAAAAGATGTTTTTACAGTACAACGGCTGCCCCACCCTTCAAACCGGAATGCGTTACTGTTTTACGGCAGAAATAGGCAGGGTTTTCGTACTTGCCCGTGCTACCACCAGTTCAGATCAACAGGAGAGTCATTTCCTTTTATGAATACCTGGATAGATCGGTACTCGGAGTCTTGTAGTAAGTCCTTATGTCGAATGTGTCTGCTCCGGTGACAATAGCGCGTGGGTGCCGCAAAGTCCGGCCGTGGAATGTTTAATTTTCCTGCTTCCTGTGTGGTAGGCAGCGGCTTGGCTCTGCCCCTGGCATTGCTGAAGTCCATGGGCGACGGTAACCACTCACCATCAGGTGGGCCGTATGCCCGTCTGCCTACAAAGGCAATAAAAAAAAAAAAAAAATGCGTGGCATCCATCAATAACCACTCAACATCAGAGATCGTCTGACACATGGCGCTGAGAAATTGGTATATTTCATGGAAACTGTTGGTATAATTTGCAGCACATACCGCCGCTATAGCCCTACAGCATGGACGGCATGGTAGCCGTGGTCCGAGGAGTGGGGGACGCGGGCCTGTCCGTCACCCTGCACGACGGACACCGCCAGTATACACTCATCCCCAGCGCTGGTAATCTGCACACTGTGTTAAACTGTTTGAGTGGTTGGTACCTCATAGTCGTGGGATGAGCAATGAGCTCGAGCAGACATCCCTCTGATGATGAGTGGTTACCGTCAGCTATGAAATTCAGCAATGTCAGGGGCAGAGCTAAGCCCACCGATACTCTAAGGTCATGTGTAGTGAAGTGTTGCTGCAGACCGCGGCGCTTTGACCGCGAGACCGTTGACCCCGCGTTTCATCTATTTGTGTTACATTACGCGCGGTACAAGAGACAATATAAAATTATTTTTGACACTGAGTTTAATATGTCGGGAGTCGCACCGGCTGCGGCGGCGGCGATCTGCTGTGTAACACACACAACTGTGTAATTTTACAAATTCAAATTCAAAATCATTTATTTCAACTTAAATGTCAGTATAACACACTTGTTGAATGTCAAAATATAAATAGCAATGTTAACTCTACCACCCGATACATACTCGATTCTGTAGACCGAATGGTAAACAGTCGACGTCCTCAAAATACGTCATTACGGATCCTTCTAATCCATTTACAGTGCTTTTAGGCACACAAGCACCGGTCACCGTCCTCGTCGAACCCGTCGCTTGTGACTAAGAGCTCGACGAACGAATTAACCCGCAGACACAGCCCACTGAGTTTCTCGCCGGATCTCGTGGGTCGCGTTTCTGATCCGGTGGTAAATGCTGCGAAGCTCTGCCCTTGCTAGGGCCAGTGTTACGCTGAAATAGCCTCTCAAGGCTTAGGTAGAAAAAAATGTAATTATTATCGTTCTCTTAGATCCCAACAGCTCACACTCATTTGAGATGTTTGTGTTGAAGCCGCGGCGTGTCCGGGGCCGCCGCCCCGCTGCCCCCGGGAGCACCCCGCGGCGACCCGCAGCTGCCGGGACTCCGGCTCGCAGGCCACCGACGGACAGTATGCCACCGTCTACCAGGCTAGTGGATATTCTAATAACATCTTCATTTTGTTCAAAATCTTCAATTTTTTTTTATTGCTTAGATGGATGGACGAGCTCACAGCCCACCTGCTGTTAAGTGGTTACTGGAGCCACCCACATTGAGATATAAGTTCTAGTCTCAAGTATAGTTACAACGGCTGCCCCACCCTCCAAACCGAAACGTATTACTGCTTCACGGCAGAAATAGGCAGGGCGGTGGTACCTACCGGCGCGGACTCACAAGAGGTCCTACCACCAGTAATTACGCAAATTATTATTTCTGTTTTGAGCTTCCTAAATACGGTATAAGGTACGTGATCTTCTCAGATGTCGCACTGCAGCGTGGCGCCGACCTCTCCTTGCGAACTCCTCACGGAATACCCTCCGCAGAGACGCGGCGTCAGACCAGGTGACGGCTCCGCACGCGCTGCCTCTACTGGCCGGTCATATGTCTTCGTTCAATACAATCCTCACTTGTACTATTGACGATGACATTGCTACTAACCTATTGTTTTTTTTTCTCTGACAGTATTCCAAGTCAAAATTTACTTATACGGAATTTAAAACTTTTTCATCTTAAAATTAATAAGGGTTACGTATTAAAAAACCAATGATTAAAATATAAAATCGCAAAACTAGATTTATAAAAATATACGAAGACAGCTGTCGATATGCGCTCTCTCTCACACTACAGCTTGTCTATAGCAGTACAGGCCCGTACCCATCCATTATTTGTTTGATCACCTGGCAGGTAGAAAGCCCTACCGAAATTATCTGTCTTTTTGGGAATCTTATTTTTTAGCTATAAATAACACTCCATTAAAATTTCAAGCTGCCTCAAAAACATTTTTTATAATTTTTTTCCAAAAAATTTTTTGCACGCCTCTGGTAATGTTACAACCCCGATTAAATTGTCTGGCTTATTTTTTTTCGTATATATTAAGTATTACACTGCAACGTATATAAATTGCGTATTGCCTCAAATATATTTTTGGGGAAAAAAAATTAATATTTTTCAAAATGTAGGGGTTGATTTAGCCCCACTACTCACCAGCCAGGTCTGCAATTCCGTGTTAGAATATAATAGGAGAGGTGTGTGACAAGTTTTCAGCTTGCCTCAAATACCAACCCAAAAATTGGTGCCAGCTCTCCTACTAAAAATACATAATGAATTTATAGCACCGTATGTGCGATATCTAGGTACATTAACAAAACATTATGTACAATTAAAGTTTAAAAGAATCGCATTGCTTACAAAAAGCTTTCATAAGTTATAATTACACATAATTAATGTACAACTAGACGAAGTTAAATTTGTTTTTTACATTATCCTGACATCCCTCTTCCTCCCTGATCTCTTAATCGGGTGGATACTTATACATATAAGATAGTTAGTTTATGAAATTAAGATTGTTTTGATTGATTCGGTGGTGAAGTAGTTAGCGGTCCTGACTGTTGTGCCGGCCGAGGGTCGCGGGTTCGATTCCAACCTCAGACAAACATTGTGTGATAAACAGGTTTGCTTGCTCTTTGTCTGGGTGTTTATCTTTCAAATATTTAAACACTTATATGTTTATCAGTTTCTGGTACCTACTCATAATATAGGGAATCGTAAATTGGGGCCGAATGACCGTGCCTGATTTGTTCCCAGCTGTTTATTATTATCATTATTATTAGATATTACTGCCAAAATCGACATGTGCATCACTGAGCGGCGTGAGTAAGTAAGCAAAATCTCGTCATAGAACAGATGGAACAAAAAGTTGTATTGCGCAGAACCTGCTAGAACTTAAATGTAAATTGATTGAAATGTCAGGTGATGACAATCTTGTGGTGGGCAGCGGCGTGCTCGCAGGGGGGCGCAGTCCCGTCGGGAGCAGAGCCTCAGGTTCGACAGCTAACGATGCATTTTATGGTAATTATAATAATTACCATTGTTTAGTTGTTGTAACAGTATATATAGTTTTTTCTTTATTTTTTATTTAAATGGGTGGACGAGCTCACAGCCCAACTGGTATTAAGTGACTGCCGGAGCCCATAGACATCTATAACGTATATGCCGCCACCCACCTTGAGATATAAGTTCCAAGGTGTTAGAACGGCTGCCCCACCCTTCAAATCGAAACGCATTATTGCTTCACGACAGAGATAGGCGGGCCGGTGACACCTACCCGTGCGGACTCACAAGACGTCCTACCATCAGTAAATAAAGTTAGAAATGCGGTACAAGTAATCCACATACGACCTGCAGTATCCTCATTGCTACTCCAGTTTAATTACACTTCGTCCCACTCAGGGTCTCCACCAAGAGAGCGCTCGTCTCATGGGTTCAATTCATTCGCGAGATCACTTCGACGTCCTCTCCCTCCGGAGCCCTCCTACGAGGTGTTAGAGAGACTGGACACTCACAGTTCAGATAAACATGGTAAGTGAGTAAGGGAGTAACTTGCTCTGTAATCCTGACCGAACCAGTTCTACAATGATTTAGTTCTGGTATTCCAGGCAGTCTGAACAGATCACCGTCAAGACAGCCTCAGTTTGGCACAAGCAGTTGGAGGATAGCGCGCAGCAGCACAGCAAACCAACCCAAGTACAGAGACGATGAGCCAACCAGAGACGGGCCCGGGGGCCACGACAGAAGCTGTAACGTTAGACGAGTGGAAAGCTTGAAGGGAGAGAAGTGTCGCCGTGCACCGGTCGGACGTGAAGTCGAAATCCTAATTTAATTGTTATTTCTTCAGCCTCCTTCATATCCTCTTTTTGTTTTTCAGAAGTCTGCCACGGTCACGTCTGAAACTCAGGGTAAGTGGTCATTAAGGTTTGATCCTACGTGATCGAGTCCGTCTACATTTAATAGTGGTTTGCCCCTTCTTGTGTTACAATTGAACTTTGCGACACAAATGTATGGAAGTTGTGGAGGAAATCAGAAGGTTGCGTGTTCAGATCATGACGGGGTCACCAATGTGGGGCGGTGCGTTAGAAAATTAAACCACTCGCACAGTTTAATACACTTTTAGTTTATTCTCAAAGGACAGAGCACAGGCACAAAGAAGGAAAAACGGGTGAAGATATGTGACGCCATAAGCGACACTAAATGGTATTGGGAGCTATTTATATAACGTAAGCCAAAGTAACAAGCTGACTGGTTGGCGAAGGCCGACACCGTCCATGCGTATTTATCTTACATTTCTAAATTGTGTAACATACAATTATTGTTTTATGAAACAGATTAAAACAGTTTTTGGAACGAAGTTCCTTATCGCGCGTTGTGAAAGGGGGCTAGACGGAAAAAATTCTTACGAAAAGTTGTCACGACACTTTTTGCTATAAATTCTTACGAAAAGTTGTCACGACACTTTTTGCTATAAATTCTTACGAAATGTTGTCACGACACTTTTTGCTATAAATTCTTACGAAAAATTGTCACGACACTTTTTGCTATAAATTCTTACGAAAAGTTGTCACGACACTTTTTGCTATAAATTCTTACGAAAAGTTGTCACGACACTTTTTGCTATAAATTCTTACGAAAAGTTGTCACGACACTTTTTGCTATAAATTCTTACGAAAAGTTGTCACGACACTTTTGGAACGAAGTTCCTTATCGCGCGTTGTGAAAGGGGGCTAGACGGAAAAAATTCTTACGAAAAGTTGTCATGACACTTTTTGCTATAAATTCTTACGAAAAGTTGTCACGACACTTTTGGAACGAAGTTCCTTATCGCGCGTTGTGAAAGGGGGCTAGACGGAAAAAATTCTTACGAAAAGTTGTCATGACACTTTTTGCTATAAATTCTTACGAAAAGTTGTCACGACACTTTTTGCTATAAATTCTTACGAAAAGTTGTCACGACACTTTTGGAACGAAGTTCCTTATCGCGCGTTGTGAAAGGGGGCTAGACGGAAAAAATTCTTACGAAAAGTTGTCACGACACTTTTTGCTATATATTCTTACGAAAAGTTGTCATGACACATTTTGCTATAGTAAGCTATTGTAAGCTGTGCGGCGTCGCATGTTTCTCTGTCTGTCTGTCTCTCTCTCTCTTTCTTCATACCTCGAATAGAACTTTAAATTAATATTTTTATAATTGGGAACTTTGTTCCTATCCGGTGTCCCACGACACCACACATCTTTTTTTTCATAGTTGGGTCGACGAGCTCCCAGTCCACCTGGTGTTAATTGGTTACCGAGGCCCATAGACATCTACAGCGTAAATGCCGCCACCCACCTTGATATATAAGTTCTAATTTCGCAGTATAGTTACAACAGCTGCCTCCCCTTCAAACCGTACAAAATGTGGGATAATGATAGTGAATTCTTTTGGTTCCAGCTTCAGTACAAACAATGTCGAGGGAAGTGGAGACTGCACCAAGAATGGAACCTTTGAAGCGGAACGTAAATTTAACTTTTCTACGTGTTAATCATGTTATTGGTCTGTGATGCCCTATGGCACTTCTCAATTTGCTTCTCACAATTTTTTTTATTTTTTTTGTTGCTTAGATGGGTGGACAAGCTCACAGCCCAACCTGGTATTAAGTGGTTACTGGAGCCCATATACATCTACGACGTAAATGTGCCACCCACCTTGAGATATAAGTTCTAAGGTCTCAGTATAGTTACAACGGCTGCCCCGCCCTTCGAACCGAAACGCATTACTGCTTCACGGCAGAAATAGGCGCGGTGGTGGTACCTACCCGCGCGGACTCACAAGAGGTCCTACCACCAGTAAATAACAGTCAAGATTATTCTACTTCTTTCCCTTAGAACTTTGAAGTTGTTTATTCAGCTTATTTTATAATAAGCATATGCTTGGTACTTTAAAGTAATCCCCTTGTTCTAGGTAGCAATTCCATTATCCCCGCAAGCCTCAAGACATCCTCAGGATGCGACGCGATGCGACCCAGTGGTCTCGGGACTACAACAAAACGTAACAAAACAAACTTTGAAGAAGTCTCGTCGTACTCCTATAAGCGTTCAACAAAAACAAGCGGCTAATACAGTTTTCAGGAAATGTAAGTCTCTGGGAGACGTGGCTGTGAAAAGAGACATTTACAAAGATATTCTGGATCTGTTACAAGAAATTGTAGCGTACTCTAAATTTGGTGATATCTTATTTAAAGACTCCAAGAAACAATCTAACTTCAGTAAAAGTCGACGACACGATATGGATAAGCACAGGATGATTCGCAGGACCGCTAGTTTTAATTTGGATTCTTTGAGCCTAGACAATGTTCTGACCCTCGAGAGTAGAACAAACAATTGCTTCAAGAAATTTCCGGCTATAGACAAGACAGAGCTATTAACACAGTCACTAATGGAGTTATTACACTTAAATGATAACAATATGAAACGTAAAACTTTTCGACTCATTGATTATATGTTTGACAATCTCAATGATGGTGGTCCTAGTCTGAATGAATTGGCTTCATTTTGTTTAAATAGACTGCAAAATTTGTTTACATTAGCTACCCTTAATAAGGATACTACTGAAACAAAGGAAATTATAAGTGAAGTAATAAAGAAATCTTTAGTAAAATTTACTCAAAAAAATAAACTGAAACTTAAAACCGCTAATTTGGAAGACATGACAAGCAAACTCATTAATATCTGTAAGAATAATAACGTTGATACAAAGAATAAAGTAGAAATAGAGATAATGGCGTTGATGATGAAAAATGATTTCACCAACAATCAAGCAGCTGAGTATACCGACCAGCTCATAAAACAAACTTGTGAAAAAGTATTTGAAGGACCTCCTCCAATGTACCCCCGGAATTATGTAGTGTTTCAGAACACTCAAAATTCAATACAGGGTTTNTGTAAGAATAATAACGTTGATACAAAGAATAAAGTAGAAATAGAGATAATGGCGTTGATGATGAAAAATGATTTCACCAACAATCAAGCAGCTGAGTATACCGACCAGCTCATAAAACAAACTTGTGAAAAAGTATTTGAAGGACCTCCTCCAATGTACCCCCGGAATTATGTAGTGTTTCAGAACACTCAAAATTCAATACAGGGTTTGAACGAATCTGATAACTTTAGTGTCGCTCCAATAAATGAACGGGATATAGACATCAATTTAAAATTTTACAAGAATCAGCTTGTGCAAGCTGTAGAGCAGTGGCTGACCAGCGTCACGGGGACCGGCCTCAGTGAGATCTTCAGACAAGTCGCTGTTAATGATTTGACCGACGACATCATAGACAGACATAAATATTTAGAAATGAATCCTTCTAAAAGGAAATCTGATGAAGATGAACTGGAATATCTAAAGTTTCAAATATTTAAATGGATTCATGAATTGGTTGGCGATGACAAGATTTCTAACGCTTTGGACCATGCAGATGTATTGTCTCAGACGATTCGTAGTATTCCAGTCCCGATGCTGACTTTGCCACAGAACCCTGGCAACTTGAAATCCAGTCTACCACCGTGTTGTACTGCCCAGCCTACATCGCATGCTGGGCCTAGTTTATCAACACCCAAAAATTACACGCGCGCATTGAGCCATAGTTTTGGCACCGACCAATCATCTAATTATGCACCCGCACCGTCCTACCCAGCACAGAACAGGAACACCCCGAAGTATCGACGTCAGTCAAGTCCAGCAACATTCGCTTCTGGCCCTATGATACACAATGCAGGCAGTGCGGGTCGAATGCCGATATATGCTCAAGCAATACCCGGTGGTAGTTTGGATTATGTTCAAAACATTCCTCATAATATGCGCAGAATGAGTGGTTCCAGTAATTATGCTTCTGGGACATTCGTTCAAAACCAACTTACTGATTTATCCTATAACCAAATTTCATCACTAAGTCCAAAAGGTTTAGGTGGGAATGTAATACAAAATCCTGTCAATAATAATCTTTGGGAAGGAAGAAGAATGCTTGGAAATTTTCCTGCATCTGGGGAATCTTGGCCATCAAATTATAATCAAACATTTGCCTCTAGACCGCGTTCTGCAAGTTTTAACCAACAACCCACACAAAGACAATCACCCAGTCGTAGAAGAATGAGTGGACCTGCAACTTTTGCTTCTGGGCCAATGAATTTATACCCCTTGCCTGATCAAATGCAACAGAATATGTATCCAAATTTTTCAAATTCTCATGACGGTGCTCAATACAGAAATGCGTGTTGTAATATAACAAACGCGTCTCCAAATTTACCTCTCGCGCAAATAGAAGATGAATTTGAACAGTTCGTACAGAACTGGGTCAAACAAATTCCTATTTCTTCGTCCAATCCACAAGAACAAGCAATTGGTGATAAAGCTAGATTAGGTATCTTTAATGGCATAATGATAGCAGTGAGCAAGCTGAAACTGGAGCCAACAAAATTTAACAACCCCGTCTACTGTCAAGATGTCTTAGAAGACGAAATAGATGGATTACTAAGTTGTCTACCACAAACGGAGGAACTTACAAAAGCAATGCAAACTTTAAAACCCCAGCTACTCGACAAAGCAAACAATATGATAGCACAAGCAGCGAGGAATTCATCTTCTTACAAACAACAATTAGTTCAGAGCATCACAAATCATACTCCTTTAATGACCATCGATATGCAAGCAGAAGATCCTGAACAACTGTACGACGACATGCTGAAAATGGCCATTGCTGATAATTTTATTCTTTTCACGAAATACAACGAAGAAGATAAGTTTCAAGCTAATATGTTTAAAAAGAAAGTAGCTAACCGGGTCAATGAACTGGTCGAGAACATTAAAAATACCCATGGCTTTGCTTTGTATAATTTAGATTTTGATCGAATTAAAGATGAAGTGATGAATGCCCTGACGAGAGTTCCACTTCCGACTGACGATGAGATGAAAGACGAAGTGGACGAAGTACTTCTAGGCATTGACATTGATCACTGGTTTTCTGATCTTCCACTTGTGCAGTCGGAAGATAATTACGAGTGTGTACAACAGCGTAGGCTTAGAGATTTGTTGACGAAGAAAATACACGATATTGAAAAACGTCCGAATACGAGCGAGGAAGCAATTGATTTGGAAATTAAACAAGAAACGCTGAGGGTTCTACAGAAATTACCTCTGAGGGTCGAAACTGCCGAGCTCCAGTTCATGGCAGGCGAACTCTTGAATAGATTGAAAAATCGAAACAAAGCTGGTTTTATGACACAAAGGAAGTCAGTAGCATTTCAGGATCCTCAGGGCTATGACCATTTCGCTCAAAACATGGCGTATTGCTCGAGCTACGCTGATGCTAATCAAGATCAGAGCTCGTATATGATAGTAGGGGGTGACAGACATGACAGTCCATATCAACAGAACATTCCCTATGTGAATGAGAGACGTGAGGTGACACCCGAGCAGTGGTTTACATTGGAAGAAACTAAGGCACCACCTGGACTCCGCGATTACCAGTCAATTCAGGCAACTAGTCAATTTCCGTCATGTTGTCAGCAGACAGCATCCGGTGCCGGCCAGCAGGAACTGAATCAACAGAGTCAAGTACAAACAACACCAAGTTCAAACATTCAGAGGTCTCATCAGCTACCACCGCACTATCAGCAAATGAGTCAAGTTGTACCGCAACACACTCAACATAATACATTGCAACAATCGGCCATTGACTATCTGCAACCTCCACCACAATTGATCAATAGTCAAATTTACCAACAACAACCTCCTCCCTGCTGCNAACTGAATCAACAGAGTCAAGTACAAACAACACCAAGTTCAAACATTCAGAGGTCTCATCAGCTACCACCGCACTATCAGCAAATGAGTCAAGTTGTACCGCAACACACTCAACATAATACATTGCAACAATCGGCCATTGACTATCTGCAACCTCCACCACAATTGATCAATAGTCAAATTTACCAACAACAACCTCCTCCCTGCTGCCAAGTCTTGGAGGCACCAGGAACGCAATCTAGCCATGTTTACCCGCAAAGCCCCAAGCAAGGTGAAATGTTTATGCAACCCTCTCAAATTCCTGGCCCTAGTAGCGTTACGCAACGTGGGTATGTGGCAAGTACTCCTCAACACGATGCTTCCGCCTCTAATTTCCAAAAGCAATTTGTTTCTGTTAGTCCTAATTTTTCCATTAACCAACAACCGAACCAGGCTACCCCAGTTCTTAATAGCAGTCAAATTGCCGGTCCCAGTAACCAAGATATGTACAGCGTGTCAAAAAGATCTATAAAACTAAAACCTGGACAGTTAGGCACACCTGAAGATGTACTTGTTACAATCCAAACTGGACCAAAGACAGAATCTCAAGTTCCCCCCGAAACACCTGATATACCAGAAGCGGATGATATACCAGAAGAGGTGGAACAAGCAGTCAATGATCAAGCGTACATTACTCCTCAGAGTAAGGAAATTCAACCCAAATATCCCCCACTGAAAAAGAAACCAACTCGTGTTATCGACAGGCAAAAGATAGCGTCTCTCCGAAGACGGCTAGACCTGGAAGATCCAGAGGAAGTCGAAGAACAAGAGGAATACAGGTGTAGATGCTTAGAGAGAGTGTTCAGCGGTAAAAGAAGAATGCGGGCCTGCTATGACATGGAAGATTTTCCTATGGAGATGCATAGGTGTATGCCCTTTAGGTTTTATCCGTGCTTTTACTAGAATTTTGAAAACATTGTTAAAAATTTTAGATCATAAATATATTCGAATATAAATTTAAATGTCTGTTATGTTTTGCTGTTACTGTGCCTTATTAAACTTTTCGTACAAGTGCGTCCGTAGCACTGCTTTTAATATATTTTACTATTCACTCACAAACTTCTCGCCCCCGATGAGTCAACACTAAAAGTGCACCAACTTGCAAGTTACCTTTCACTCTTGAGACGAGCTTAAATGATCTGGTTTATGAATTTTTAATTCTGGTATATTTGATCCTATTTTATAATGTTTAATTTCTTAGATAACAAATGCAAAAATTACTTTTTTTTATTTATTGCTTAACTGAATGGACGAGCTCACAGCCCACCTGGTGTTAAGTGGTTACTGGAACCCATAGACATCTACAACGTAAATGCGCCACCCATCTTGAGATATAAGTTCTAAGGTCTCAGTATTGTTACGGCTGCCGCACCCTTCAACCGAAACGCATTACTGCTTCACGGCAGAAATAGACAGGGCGGTGGTACCTACCCGTGCGGACTTAAGAATACAACCACTATATATGCAAATTATAATTTATGGGTTTGATTTTTATTACACAATGTTATTCCTTCACCGTGGAAGTCAATCATGAACATTTGTTAAGCACGTATTTCATTACAAAAATTGGTACCTGCTTGCGGGATTCGAAACACCGGTACATCGCCAGATACGAATGACTTCAAAACTTACTGAGCAGTAAGCAGCGCGACACGAAAACCCTCTCATTGTAGCCGCCGCTAATTACTTATCTGACCGCGACGGGACAACCCAAAGCCGCCGTCGCGAAACATGTCTTGTCGGATCCCCCGGATTCACTCTTGGTCCTTTTTGGACTCTCAAGCACCGGTCACTGTCCTCGTCGAACCGAAGAGTTCAACTAACCCATAGACACAGCCCCACTGAGTTTCTCGCCGGATCTTCTCTATGTTGCGATTCCAATCCGGTAGTAAATTCTGTGAAGCGTTGCTCTTGCTAGGGCTAGTGTTAGCAAATTCTCTCAGATTGAGCCCGTGAGCTCACCTGCCCGTCCGGGCGTAGCTGAAATAACCTCTTAGGATATTAGCGAAAAGGTAGAGAAAAAAAAACAATATTTGTATGTCGCAGAATGGGCCGATATCTTCATTATTTCTTGAAAAAAAAAAAAATACTATCCGTCCCGGCTAACGAGACGCCCTACCACCAGTAATGAATTACCTACGCAAACTATAATTTTTGCAGGTTTGATTTTTATAAGACGATATTATTCCTTGACCGCGGAGGTAAGTCATGTACAAGCATTAAGTCCGTTTTTCTATAAAAAAAAATCGACACCTGTCTGCGGGATTTGAACACCGGCACAATAGCATCGCTCGGTATGCGCCACAGAACACTATTACTTCTAGCGGTATGCGCGCATCCCTGAGGCCACGACGGCTTCAAGCTCAGTATAAATAAAAAACTATTTATTTTTTCTCCTACCTACGCGGTTCGGTTCGGTTTTCGTCCCGCTGTACAGGGAAGAAAGTGTAACTTTTCCTCCCTGGGTACTGACAGGTGCGCATGCGCGTTAGTGTCTACGTCTGCTCTCACGCACCTAAAATTCTCCGCCATTGTTGTGCTCGGGTAATTTGCAATACATATTGTGTTTAGTTAAAAGTGAAATAAACAAAAGGCAATAAAATTTAATAGTGAAGTATTAAACAAAGATGAGTTCATCAGACAGTTCTTATTCAATTGGTAGTAGTTTATTTAAAAATTTAAAAACAGTTAAATTGTTTTTTTTATGAGTACGGGGGTGGGGGGGGTCTCCCCCTACCCCCGCCAAGGCTTTGCCCCTGGATCCCGGATCGGTACTGCACGAACTTTCGGCCTGGTAGGAGTACTATTCCCTATCTAAATAAAACTGAATTTATTTATTACGATAATTAATTAAAGGGTAGACTTCACTATAACAATTCACTTCTTCACTTTCTCGAGATGATCCGTGCGTCACTTCGCTTTGAATAGAATTCTCGCCGCCAATTTTTTCCTACCTAAGCTGATGGTCTAGAGCAGTCTTTCCCAAAGTGGGCGATAACGCCCCCTTGTGGGCGCTGCAGGCCTAAGCTGGGGTGGTAAAAGACCCAGAAAAAAAGGGGGGCGTTGTGTAGAAGAGGCTTGGGAGGCGATTTGTAATTTCATCTAAGGGGACTCTTAGATAATGACTGAGCTCTCGCTATAGTGGTGTTTAGGTGGGTGAAAAAATGGGGGCGCTCAAAATAATTTATTCTCAAAGTGGGCAGTAGACAAAATAAGTTTGGGAGCCCCTGCTCTAGAGCACGCTTTTGTAGTCGTTTCGACAATACCTACGATTCTGTAGAACAACAAGAAATGTTCTAGACTCGTTTACTCAGGCGGAGAATATTCTTGACCCTTAAAATACTCTTGATATAATTGGAACACTGAATAAATGTTCACCAGAACAATCAAGTGATGTTCCAGTTGTCTATATCCATGTTTGCTATTCGAGGATAGATGGCGTTACTCGTACCCTCACGGCAATATATTATTATGTACTTTATAAAATAGTTCGGTTAGTGCAGAAGAAGCTCAAATATATTAAGTGTATAATCTATGTGCAGAAGAGTGCACGGCGCCTTGGTTTTAGGCCACGGCCATTTTCCTGCGCATCTTTTTAGATTATAGTTAAGTGAATCAGCTGCATGTACCTATTGTAATTCTGACATGTGTGATCTAGATCTTTTTTTTTTAATTGTCCTGAATTCAATAAACAGAGATTATTGTTTAATGCATTAAGTAAAGATACAGGCTTAAAATCTATTCCTAATTCCATTCAAGGTGTTTTGATGCTTCCACAACTATTCTCAATAGTGTATAATTTTGTACTTCACACTATAGGACGATTATGAATGTATAATTCATGAATGTATCATAGGTCTCCTGTTTATGTGCAAGTTTAAATAATTTTTTTTATAGCGACTCATGTTCTTTTTTTTTGTTGTTTGTTGAAAGAAAACTTGTAATTTTTATTTATTGTAAGTTCTTGCAATTCATTTTGTAATTAATTTGTTGTTCTCAATGATTTGTAATTGTTTCTTTTATTTCTGTTTTTATTGTAAGTTCATTTTCTATTTTTTTGTAAAATTAGTTTAAGCTGATGGCCGTGTTGCCAATGCTCTCAATAAAAAAAAAGTGCACGGCGTCGTAGGGACTTTTTGGCGGGAACGCGAGGTGTGAAGTTGTGTGGTTTGTTTTATTTTGTCTGTTTAGTGTTTCTTCTGGTTTAAATGTGTAATAACGGTGGTTTATTAACTGTTTAATATCTGTGAAAGTGGATTCCGGTTCCGGTTGTCGATCAGTCAATACGCACGTCACAGAGCTCCGCGGAAAATTAAAAATAAACAGTGTAAAAAAGTGCCAACAAAGAGTGTCATACGAACTATTGTTTACAACAAATAACAAAATACACGATTAGCAAAAAATTACAGAAAAGTGTTAAATTGTGAGAACAAATCAACCACATATTGTAATCATTCTACCCTACAAAAATACTGTGAAGTGTCATCTGATGCAAATTGTACATAGACTACAGAGTGGAAACTACAGTACCAACATAACAAACATCGAAACAAGTGCTGCCACAGCAAAAAAAAGTGTTGCCATTACAAAACCAGTGTTGTCACAGCGAAACAAGTGCTGCCATAGCAATATAAAAAATACCAAACATGGAGAAAAGTATGGAAATTCTATTGGCAAAATTAGATGAAAAGTTAGACCAACAAACTAAACTTATAACAACTACAGTAACACAAAATGTCATGGCAGCACTAGACGAAAAGTTTAAAGCGATCACCGNCCTATAAAATATGTTTTAATTATTATTTTTGTATGTTTTAAGCATGATAAAATAAGAAATTTTATATAAGCAATCATATTAAATCGATATCAAAGTCAATAAATAATGTACAACCCAAAACAGACGGCCGAACTGACGTGACAATGACATTTGGCGCGCTAAACATGGCGGATTTTCGGCCTCATTAGACGGAGACGGACATTTACGTATATTCATGTTTCATTTTATGTACACACTGAAATACTGTTATATTGTTTTCCTGCGAGTTAAAGTGGTGAGTAAAAACGAGATAGATATATGTTTATGTATGTGCCTTCAAAATGGGTGCTATTTATATAAGCAATTGTACGTATAGAACAATATGTCGTGTCCCTACTATATAGGTCTATGATAAAAAACTATTTATTTTTTCTCCTACCTACGCCGAAAGTTCGGTTTTCGTCCCGCTGTACAGGGAAGAAAGTCTAACTTTACCTCCCTGGGTACTGACAAGTGCGCATGCGCGTTAGTGTCTTCGTCTGCTCTCACGCACCTAAAATTCTCCGCCATTGTTGTGCTCGGGTAATTTGCAATATTATGTTTAGTATAAAAGTGAAATAAATAAAAGGAATACAATTTAATAGTGAAGTATTAAACAAAGATGAGTTCATCAGACAGTTCTTATTCAATTAGTAGTAGTTTATTTAAAAATTTAAAAACAGTTAAATTGTTTTTTTTATGAGTACGGGGGGTTTGGGCTCTCGCTATAGTAGTGTTTAGGTAGGGGAAAAAGTGGGGGCGCTCTAACTAATTTACTCTCAAAGTGGGCAGTGGACAATAAAGTTTGGGAGCCCCTGCTCTAGAGCACGCTTTTGTAGTCGTTTCGACAATACCTACAAATCTGCAGAACAAAAAAAAAATCTAGTCTTGTTTACTCATGCGGAGAATATTCTTGAGCCTTAAAATACTCTTTGATACAACTGGAACACTGAATAAATGTTCACCAGAACAATCAAGTGGTGTTCCAGTTGTGTCTATATCGATTTTTGCCATTTGACGACAGATGGCGTTACTCGTACCCTCACAGCAATAGGTATATTATTATGTACCGTAAAATGGGGCGATTAGGGATTGAAAGGCGAATCGGGAAAAAACCGGGAAAATCTTTCAACGCTCAATATAAGTTTTATATTCGTTGCAAAATCTTCCATTTTTTGTAGTTTAATAGTAGAATGTTGAAAGTTCACAAAACAACTCTGAATATGCATGATAATAGCTGCTAACTTATAAAAAATCGCGTGTCAAATTAACTTCCTGTGGTGGTAATTATTTTAGTGCTAGAAACTTTGCTCTCTTTTATTTATTTGATAATAATAGAAAACGACTGTGATTTATAAACGTTATTTAGTGCTCGAACCAGGATATATATTAAAGGGAAGTCTCAGTTGTTATTGGTTTTAATGTATTTGATAAAATAAAAATACATGTAAAAATCTGTTGTTTTGGGGTATATTGGGGACGTCTTAGGTATAAATAACAACGAAAAAGGGGTCAATTGGGATGAGAATACGTGAAATGGAAACGACCTAAGTATAAATAGGTACAGGTTTATAGGGTTGTCTATGCAGTTATAACAATATTTTTTAACTTTGTTGGTAAAAATCTGGTTTATTCATGATGTTTTTGTCTAGAACTTTTATTCAAAATTCTCAATGTGTTATTTTATTATTTGGTAAATATTTATATTATCAGTTACGTATTGTTTTCTATTTTTAGATATGCCTCGCGTGTACGTATCAAAGAGTGCAAAGCCTTGAGATATGATGCCTTAATATTAAAAACAGCAATAGAAGCCTATGAAATTGGGAATAAGTCTTTAGTTGAAATAGATAAGCAATTTAATATAAGTAAGTCGATTTTGCACAGACATGTAATAAGAACAATGAAATGTCAAGGTGGACAAAAATGTCTAAGTAATACATAATAAAATATTTAATATTTGTTCAGAGTGGGGGTTTTCATCTGATTAATCCATGGAATAACCGACACATCTAATCTCTTAACCCAGATCGAAATATCAGCCCCTAAGTACTTACCAAGAACGGAGAAATATAAACCGTTTCTAAGAAAGCTCACTATAAATATATTTTGTTGTTAATGCACTGTCGATTGCACCTATAATTGAGGTGACATCTACCATGTACTTTTGTCAGTTTTTCAATTTTTTATATTGATGATCACTTTGTTGGTGCAACTAAATAAATAAATAAATTAAAACTATATATAAAAATAAAAGTAGTGCCAACCCTAGCAAATTTCTCATTTCGTCCCAATTAACCGCAATTTCCGGGTAAATAGGGATTACACCTATTTTTGCATTTTTTGCTTAAACTGGAATGCTAGTTGCATAATTTTAAATTGGACAACAAAGATGCCCCCAAGACTCAATCATTTTGATCCTGATATAGAATTATATACATCAACAACTACCTTAAAATTGCTCATAAAGTTGGAATTTGTCCCTAATCGCCCCATTTTAGCGGTACTTTATAAAATAGTTCGGTGAGTGCAGAAGCTCAAATATATTAAGTGTATAATCTATGTGCAGAAGAGTGCACGGCGTCGTAGTTTTAGGCCACGGCCATTTTCCTGCGCATCTTTTTAGATTATAGTTAAGTGAATCAGCTGCATGTACTTATTGTAACTCTGACATGTGTGATCTAGATCATTTTTTTTAATTGTCCTGAATTCAATAAACAGAGATTATTGTTTAATGCATTAAGTAAAGATACAGGCTTAAAATCTATTCCTAATTCCATTCAAGGTGTTTTGATGCTTCCACAACTATTCTCAATAGTGTATAATTTTGTACTTCACACCATAGGACGACTATGAATGTATAATTCATGAATGTATCATAGGTCTCCTGCTTATGTGCAAGTTTAAATATATTTTTATAGCGAGTCATGTTCTTTTTTTTTTTTGTTTGTTGAAAGAAAACTTGTAATTTTTTTTTATTGTAAGTTCTTGCAATTCATTTTGTAATTAATTTGTTGTTCTCCTTGATTTGTAATTGTTTCTTTTATTTCTGTTTTTATTGTAAGTTCATTTTCTATTTTTCTTGTAAAATTAGTTTAAGCTGATAACCGTGTTGCAATGCTTTCAATTAAAAAAAAAGTGCACGGCGTCGTAGGGACTTTTTGGCGGGAACGCGAGGAGTGAAGTTGTATGATTTGTTTTATTTTGTCTGTTTAGTGTTTCTTCTGGTTTAAATGTGGAATAACGGTGGTTTATTAACTGTTTAATATCTGTGAAAGTGCACAAATGTGGGAAAATGAAACAAAGCCGCTGGACGTAGCTTCTCGGGATCCTCCAAAAAGTCCACTGAAAAAATCTCAGTAAACGACCACCATTTTACTGAGATTATATTTCATCCCATATCATCACATCTCATTTCATCCCAGTTGATCTCAAATTAATCATCTTCATTTTATTTCATTTCAGTCCATATTATCATTTTACATAAAAATAAAAATATAATATAAAATAAGGTATGACTTAAAAGTCTTAGTTACCAGGTCATAAAAACTTTATAAAAAAAACGGCGTCGTGGAGAGTTACTTTACAAAAGTCAGAACTGCACATTTAATCTTGCGCGGAAAGGTAGATTTTGAGCTCATAAGAATTACGCCGTGGTGCTGTCCAGATTCTTTTTACCACGAAGCAATGCTCTTCAAGTCGGAGCCTGTTTATTTGAGATGTTGTCCACGGGCTCCAGTACATTTTGGACGAGCGCTAGTCACGTAGCGCGTTCACGGCCGACATTATTCAACAAATAAAAATTGTATAGTCTTTGTTATTCAATTCAAAAGGAAATAAAATAAAACCCGGATGTATTAAAATCCTCGTTTTTATTCACGAATATAATCGAAAACAATTATAAACACAAAAAAATTAGAAAATAAAGAGTAATAATAGTACAAATAATACAAATGTTAATTAATAAATGTTGTCGGTAGCGTCTCCCTCCGGTTGGAATCAACGAACGCAGCGTTGGACCTGCCGTCATCTTATATTTAGTATAACACAGTTTTCCTTTTATAAAGCCAATTAAATAAATTACGCTACGCTCAGTTATGATCACTAAAGCTCACTAATGCTAAATGAATCACAAAACAAATAAGAACATTAATAATTATCTTTTAATAATATAAAATGCGTATTATCAAGTTTGAGAGTTTCTAACTCCACGTGGAATCAAACGAAACATTATTCCAACAGAATAATTGTTCCGTTAACGGCGGCGGTTGTTGTGTTCGCACGAATACAACAAGTGTACCGGGACGCTCGTCGGCCTCAACGCGGACCTCAAGGACGCAAGGAGTGAGATTTAGCGGACAGCTTCGAGCGCTACAAGTCGCGGTGCAATGTGGATATCGAATATTTATTCATTGGCATTTTGTAAAGCACTCCCAGGACCGAGCGCCCCCGGACTACGCCACCAGAAAGAGCCGAGAAGAGTTTAATCTCAAATAAAATCGCGTAGAATGTCTGTAGTTAGTACAAGACCCCGTGGAGGCGGCGCGGGGGGTTGGGGGGGCGTGCTGGAAGCGAGCGTGTCCGTATCTCGTTAGTAACGTTAGGATGCGTGCAGCATCCCGCCGGCGCGCTGCGAGTCGCCTGTTTGAAGCAGACGACTCACGTTGTCCCAATTTAGTGTACGCTCTAAGTGGCGGCTGTATCCCAATAATCTAGTCAGAGCGCGATCGGCCCCAGGTTCCCTGCCCCTTGGGGAGGTCCGCTGGAGTCCGTTGGCCGCGTCGACTCCTCAACTGTTTGTAGGGTTACGTCACGAACACCTCAATAGTTCCGTGTCGCGACAGCAGCAGATGCGCGACGAGTCAATATCGAAGGGGTCCCTGGGCGCTCCGGCCGCGGACGCAGCGTTACAGACGCGTTACTTGTGTTGCGTTTGTTTATATTATACAATTTATATATACATTAAATGTTGTTAAATCTTTAATAAAACGAAACAATCAATTTGATTTTTTTTTGTTAAATTTAATTAGACACAAGACGAGCAACGCGTCCGCGCCGGGGTGGCGGCGGGGGGTGGCGGGGGTGGCGCCGCCCTCGGTCCCCGGGCAGCTCCGCAGTGCAGATGTGGTGCTCCAGTCGAGATGCTCTATCCAGTTGTTGTATATGACTGACATATGTATGAGGCCGGGGGCGTCACATCCGAGCGGCGGCGCGTGCTGCCGTCCCCCTCTCGCTGCAGAGGAGCGGCAGCCGAGCGAGAGGGACGGCAGCACCGGTCGGCGAGCACGTGTTACGTCTGCGTGGCGCGCGTGCGAGTGCGCCGCGTCCTCCGCTACGTCGTTGTCGCGCTGTTGGCGTGTTGTTGTCGGGTGGACTCCTCGCGCTGCTTGCTGATGTACACCTGCGACAACGTTTATTGTATAGAGTACGTGCGGGCTGCAGGGGAGGGAGGAGGGAGGGCGCGTGTGGAAACGTATTATTAAACTCATAGAAAGCACAAGGCAAACGTCAGGTGCGGCGTAAGGCCGCATGACCGCTGGCGTCGACCCTCCCTCGGCAGGAGTAGGGTGTTTCACCCGGCCTCCACTCTTGTTACTCCGTACACCAATTGTTAATTTTTACTAATCACATCGTGACTTTTGTTACGGAGATCCGTACCGTAAGGTACACGATACTAAATTTTCCTATGCTGACATCTTTTGTTTATTACTTGTACCATATAGAAATGCTATTATTCTGTTGCAGTTCACGTAATTTCCAGAACATATATCTTAGTTTAGGCATGTATAAGTAAGAGAGCGCTTTGGCTGGTCACCTGCAAGAGCCGGTACTTGCTGACGGAGAGGTGCGTGAGGTGCGGCTGCATGCGCGCCTCGCCCAGCGCGAACGTGAAGGCGACCATGCAGAACACGGCCGCCTTGCGCACCGCGGAGTTCTGGTGGTCCGCCAACTGGGGAATTACAAAACTTTACTTCAATACTTTTCTCTCATGTCTCCGCAGAAATTTCTGAGTGTAACGCTTTCAAGTCCGGCACGAATGTTGGTTGCGCGCGGGAGTAGTAAGAGTATGCGTATTATTATTGTACTATATTATTGGAGGTATTATTGGGACGGCGCCACCTCCAAAGGTTTGTTAGTTACTAATTACTTCGAGTACCCAAAGCGTGGTTCTACCTCTCGGCCGATAACGCTTCACCGCTAGCTGCCTAGATGGCGGCACATGTACCGTAGTGCATGTAGTGCTTGTGCTTACGAAAAGCTACATGAGCTTCGCCACTCCCCCTGCCGCCCGCGTGCTACCATCGCCCGCACGACAGTCACTGGCAAGGTCTACAGGTGAGTGCAAGTCCTTTTAATTTATCGCCATTTTATTGCTGCTTCCGTGTGATCATTCGCCCGCCCGCTCGCTTATATATATTTAATTTTAATCTTGAGTATAGTTACTAGCTTTTTGTTTACCGCAATATAGTTTTATCGCTCCGCCAATTATAACTGACGAACATTTATCACATACCGCTTAGGACGGCTATTCACACGCCTTTCTACCCCCGCTTTATATGCTCCCGCCGCAGGAGGCCTACTTATACGCCCCCTTGCCAGCCCAAGTATGGAGAGCTGGGGTGAGTTCGGTACCTGGCTGACCCCCTCCATGAGTTGCTGCACGATGTCGTCGGTGAGCTCGTGGGGGCGCGCCTTGGCGACCTCCCCGGCGAGCTTGAGGGCGCACAGGGAGGTCGGGTAGCCGCGCGTGCGGATCACTGGCTTCAGCAGGGCAAGCACCTGGCGATACAAGATTGCTGATATATTTCAACTTTTTTTATTTTTTTAAATAAATAAGTAAGTAGGGTGACACTCCAAATATTCTATTTCAGTTTCTTGTGTGTACGAGACAGGTTAGAGTGTAGTATGTACATGTAGGTATGGTACCTGCAGCGCGGGCAGCGCCCTGGCGATGTGCGGCATGCCAGCCTCCACCGCCCGCATCACCTCCTTGTTCAGAGACTCGTAGGCCTGGATGAGCTTCAGTAGGATGAGATCGAAGTACTCTTGCCACTGGGGTCTGGTCTCTGGCCTGCGGCACAACCAGATCAGAACCTTTACGGCTTCGGCGGCTGCTCGCTCGTTCGCTGTCCCCCAGCCTGCAACGACATGTTCAAGTTAGATCACGCGAAGGCGCCGCGCCGCGGGGAGGGGGGGAGTACTGACCGGATGTCTGGTGCGCGTTGGTCGCGTTTTCAGTGTTCTCCTTGTCCCCAGAGTTGTCCTCGATGGAGAGCGCCGCCAGCGCTACACGAACGATGTTCCTGCACATAACCATTTCATATAAGTGTGTGAAGCGAGAGCGAGAGACTGCAGTGGACGTGTGTCCGAGCACTGGGTCGCTGACTCCACACTACTACACTTTTTGGCCAATTTTGATATAATTTAAACATACTGGCATTTCAATAAAAAAAAGTGCGTGCGTACAAAGTACACATGTCAGAAGTGAAACTTTTTTGGCGAACTAATTTATAAATCTTTTATACAAATCTAAAACTTTAGATTTCCGAAACTTAGGAGAAGGGAAAAAGGAAGATATGTTCCCGTCAAAAGTCTGTCAAATGTCAATCTCAAACCTCAGTGTTGACAGTCACATTATGTGTTTAGATTTCTAAATTGTAAATGACTAATATTTTGCCAATTGAATTGACTAACTTAATTTCATGCTATTTGATTAATGTTCCAAATTCTTTTCATTTCATTTCAATTCCTATTAACATTTTTCACAAAAAAATTATAAAATATTAGACTGTATTGCATGACACATTTGCCTTTCCAGTTGGAAAAATACAACAATTACTACTACTACTGACATTTGACAAGTTTTTCAATTAATTTCAATAGTAGTTTGATGTCACTTCCATTGCATATCTGCGTGACGTTCTGTAAAAATTTTACCCTCATGCGCCTAAAGAAGTTTCACTTCAAAAACATGTGTGTAATTTACACGTGGTAGAAGTGAAACCTTCAAAAATTTTAAAATACAATTATCCTAAATATCTAAGTACATAATATATGTAAAATTTTGTCATTAGTAAATAACTGTAAATCATCTTTTATAGTATTAGGTAGCGCCCTCTGTGAATTGATATTTTAACTTCAGGTATAATCCTAAATACACACATTAGTATTAAGTAAAATCTCATAGATGGCGCTGTATTAAAAAAACACTACACTGAGAACGTCTGTGTTCTATCTCATTCTCTCGCCGGCTGAATCCTATACATTTATGTGTTTGTGTCTCTATGGACTTATTTTGAGTTTGAAATCACAACGATTCTAAAGAAGTTTCACTTCAATAAGCAGAACTCATGCAACTCAGGACACGCTACAGAGATAATCAGAACTACACAAAAACGTTTCAAATTAACTTAGATTTTTGGTTCCTCTACATCTCTATGTTTCAATAGAACAGACAAGGCTGTATGGGCTTAGATCCACTTGCCTTTCCCTATATAAGGAAAAATTGTACCAAAAAAAATCTCTATGTCTAAATATATGAACGCTATCAATTGAGCAGACTGACTTGAAGTATTCCTTGGGCTTGGAGCAGTCCCCGTACTTGAGCAGCTCGTGCGCGGCCAGCAGCAGCTGCTCCCAGCGCTCAGGCGGTGACGTCACGGCGTCCAGCGCACACAGAGCCTCCAGCACCGCCTCCTCGCCCAGTCCACCTGGAGAGACTCCAGCGCTCAGTCCGTCGGTCGTGTAAACGCTTACGGAGCCCAGACAACAATGGATCTGGCTCCGGGTGAACTTACCAATTCCTCAAATGAAATAAGTATTTAAGAACAAATATTTACGAATTAGTTCCACGACGAAGGATTAACATCGTGTAATACAAATCAAACCCGTAAAAAATTTAATTTGCGCAATAACTGATCGGTACTTGTGAGTTCGCACGAGTAAGTACCACCACCGTGCCTATTTCTACTGTGAAGTGGAAATGCGTTTCGGTTTGAAGGAGGAGGAGCCGTTGTACTGTTTAAACCTAAACTTTAGAACTTGCTGATGTCTATGGGCTCCAGTAACCACTTCACATTAGATGGGGCGTGAGCTCTTCGACATATCTAAGCAATAAAAAAATGTAAGACGGGGCATTTCTCCACGTTATGCGAGGAGGGCGTTGACCCGGGCACCAGCTGTTTTTAAATGGATCAGTGTAAAAAGCACCAATGTAATACAAATTCTACAGTTTGGAATCCCCCGCACTCTCGCTCGTCCCGGTCTCCACGGCCAGTCCCACACGGACACCCGTGGGCCCACTCACATTTAGTGATGATGTATCCGTGCTCGTCCACCTCGTAGGGCCTGGCCTTGTCGCGTCCCAGTTGACTGCCGGTGTAGTCCCTGCACATCACAACATCTTGTTAGCAAACTTTGTTTATCAGAATCGCAACGATATTGCCATCTGTGGGCAAGAACACAGACCCTTCCGTAACAACTCATAACAGTAAAGTCTTTTTTACACCGAAATTGAATAAGAACACATGATCAAGCAGCTTCCAAACATTGATAAAAAATTAAAAATGAATTACCATTGTGTGCATGTCCCGTGAAACATTCACACAATAAGACGAGTAGTTAATGAAGTCAGGGTGACAGACAGACAGTTGCTCAAACGGTAATACTTAAGTCTCTTTGCTTTTATTAATTATTGATAAAATAAGTTGAAGTGCTTATTTAAGCTGGTCTAGACCGACCGGGCCAAGGTTTGGTAGAGGCCACCACTCACCCGTGTTGCAATTGGTAGTCCAGCCGGTTGTGTCCCGGGATGGGCGACGATTCCTTAGTGCTGTTCGCCTCTTCGGAGCTGTCTGCTGAAGCGGCACGTCCTATTGCCTCTCTGTTTAAAATTGAAAACTATTATGTACTCTGTGTTACGGACTCTAACCTTAAAGCCGACGGAACAATAATCAGTTTTTTTTTCCTACCTTTGCTGAGAGCCTTGAGAGGATTTTTCCGCCTAACCTTAACTAGTAGGTAAGCTCACGGGGCTCAAACCTGACGACGTTGCTAACACGAACCCTAGCAAGAGTCGTGCTTCGCAGAATCTACCACCAGATCGGAAACGCTACCCACTGAGAAGATCCGGCGAGAAACTCAGTGGGCATTAATCAGAGCTACAAAGCCAAAGACAAGAAAATACTCACGCATGACCATTAGGCACTCCGTTGTGCCCCTTGTTCCCCAGCGTGAGGTCCGACATCTGACTGATACCGGAGTCTTTACTCGATGTGTAGTTGCCGCACTCCGCTGCAACATTACACAGTGCGTCAGTACGCCACACGCTGCACGCCTGCGGGCGCGGTGGATCCCTCACCGTTAGAATGGTGCGCGGTGTAGGAGTGTATCTCCGACGTCGTTTTCCTGATGCGGGAGAGGACGTCCTCGTTGTTGGACGCGGAGCTGGCCGTGCGCAGCGGACTGTCGCTGCCGGCTGGAACGGGCGGACATTAGCTCGCCGATACATCATCAGAACTGAGTATTTATTCCTATCTAAAACCAGAGGTCTGGAAAATCATATCGGGCTATGGTATGTTTTGGTCCCCTGTGCCGATAGCCTTGAGAGGCTATTTCAGCTACTCCTTGACGTGTAGGTGAGCTCACAGGGCTCAACCCTGACCAACGTTGCTAACACTGGCCTTAGCAAGAGCCGTGCTTCGCAGAATCTACCACCGGATCGCAAACGCGACCCACTGAGAAGATCCGGCGAGAAATTCAGTGGGATGTGTCTATAGGTTAATTCACTTGTCGCAAGCGACGGGTTCGACGGAGACGGTGACCGGAATTTTTACCTTAATGTAATAACTAAGCTTTAGAATGTGGTAAGTTTCAAATTTTTTGATGGGTATGAAACAGAAATATTTGATGCAATAAGTGAGAATTTTATAGATTTGGCCTTACTGCTAGATGTTCTTCTGACGTGTTGCTGCACTATACCGTTGACGAATGTCTGCGTTTCCGCCGGTAGCTCGCTCATCAAGGCTGTGAACTGAAACATCATTAAAAGATTAGTGAGGCTAGCGCGTCGCTGGGCGGGGAGGTGCGGGGGGCGGCGGGTACGTACGTGCGCCGGGCTGCAGTCGTACAGTGCGGCGAGCGCGCGGCGCGCGGCGGTCCGCACGTCACCCGCGCGGGGGTCGGCCGCCAGCGCGCACACCTTGGCCACGCCGCGCCCCGCCACGCCGCCGCCGCCGCCTGCGGACACAGCGCGCTGCGTTAGAGGAGGGGGGGGCGACCGGGGCGGCGGTGGAGCGCTCGCATACGAACCCTGCAACGCGAGCGCCAGCGCGCCGGGCGTGCAGTAGTGCAGCGCCAGCTCGGCCAGGAAGCGCAGCGCGGCGGCGCGGGTGCGCGCGGGGGGGGCCGCGGCGCCGTCCGACAGGAACCTGCGGGGACCGAACCACCAGTGTAGATACTGCAGAGTGCTGCTGGTGCTGCTCCGGGGCGCGGGCGGCCCCCTACCTGAATATGTTGTGTAGCTGCAGCTCAGCGGGGAAGCATTCGTGTATGACGTCTAGTGTCTTCATTATCTTGCTCTGCACCGAGCCAAGGATGTCAGTGCCGAGTTTCATCAGTAGTCTGGAATTAACATGACGTTTTTTTAAGAATAATTTTCATTAGTTATTTTTCGCAAATTTTATAAATACACCTTAGAGCAGCCACAAACTTTTAGAATGAGTCCTGGATTGAACTATTTTTGAAGTGAAACTTCTTTAGGTACATGGGGGTAAAATTTTTACAGAACGTCACGCAGGTATGCAACGGAAGTGAGATCAAACTACTATTGAAATTAAGTACTTGTCAAATGTCAGTAGTAGTAGTTGTTGTATTTTTCCAACTGGAAAGGCAAATGTATCATACCATACAGCCTAATATTTTATATTTTTTTTGTGAAAAATATTAATAGGAATTGGAATGAAATGAAAAGAATTTGGAACATTAATCAAATAGCATGAAATTAAATTAGTCAATTCAATTGGCAAATTATTAGTCATTTACAATTTAGAAATCTAAAGATAATGTGACTGTCAACACTGAGGTTTGAGATTGACATTTGACAGACTTTTGGCGGGAACATATCTTCTTTTTTCCTTTCCTCCCAGTCTCGGAAATCTAAGGTTTTAGATTTGTATAACTATAAGCAAGACTTATAAATTAGTTCGCCAAAAAAGTTTCAGTTCTGACATGTGTACTTTGTACGCACGCACTTTCTTTTCATCTCTTAGTTCGGTAAAACTTTTTTAGAACACTACACACATCACTATCTCTCTCTGCACTGGTAGCATTCTGTGAGCACCCACCTGAACATGAGCTGGTACAGCCAGTCCTTGAGCTGCTGCCAGTGCACGAGCAGCAGCTCGCAGACGGCGTCCAGCAGCAGGGAGAACACCTTGGTGTGAGCGTCCACGAACATTTTGTTCAACAGCTCCGTGAGGCGTCGCAGCTGCTCGTCCGTCAGCAGGCGCCCGCTGTTGAGGTAGTTCGCCTGGAAGGTGGACGATGTTAGCTCGCGGGGACACCGGCCGACGCTCCTACGACTTGTGACGTCATGGTTCCCAATTTCTTTAGTTAATGTTTTAATATAAGGAGATGTGTTTATTTTTGAGGTAATACGAGGCGGCAGGTTACTCGGCTGACGGTAGACGCTACTCAGACGTTCATACTTATCTTACGTAATGTTAACCCACCGCCGTTCGCAGTGACGACCGCGGACCACAGGCAGCCAGCCTACACGCGTACGCACCTTAACGCGCGGAACACCAACAACGCCTAATTATAATTTCGTGAAGAAAAAAAAAAGAGGATAATATTTACAAGATGCGTGAGTCCATCCTTCCGTTCGGTCCAGTGCGTGGAAGAGCACAGCACGATGATGTCATCGGCCGGCGGAGGAGGAGGGGGGGAGCCCTCCCAGCCGAGGCGCGTCCCGGAGCCCGACCACGACATGCTCTGTAACAGCACACTGGACGTTAGTAGTGACGAGGCCGGAGCAGGCCCTTTTGTTTGAAAGCATTCCTATTTGTTTACTGTTTTGTTACGACCCAGCAAAATGTGGAATAATATTCTTCAAACCCGCTAAGAGTTTGCAACAGTGCGGCGTTGTCTCAAGCGTCAGACGGATCGTATCGTGTGCTTTCGGTCCTTCGATGCCAACATCCAGCAGGCTATTAATTAATAGAGGTTACTTACATCGTGTCTCCTGTACGAGTCTAGACTCCTCTCGGAACAAACGCTGGAGGCTTCGGAGTCGTCGTCCCTTCCTCTCCCGCCCTCGCATGCTGAACTGTCCTCTGGACTCTGTGTTAGAGATATCGTACTAAGGTCAAGAGTTTGAGGAAAGAATGCACGCAGCCCCGCAGTCGTCTTGCGTCCGTACCCTGAGCGCGGCCTCGGCGTCCCTGGTCTGCTGCAGCAGGCGCAGCGTGTGTGCCGGGGCGCGGCTGGGCGCCGTCCTCTCCATCGACTCCCGCCGTCTCACCCCGCTGCTCGATCTGCCGCTCCTGTACACACTCACTGCTCACTCACTGACCGTATTGCACGCGATATTGAGCAACGGTCATCGTCTTGGCGATAACAAAGAGCCGCAAGTTGTTTTGGTTTTATAAGTAAAAGCGAATGTATGTATGTACCTGGTGGGGCTGGTCTCTCTGGATCCTGCGAGCGAGCGCGGGATGCCGGAGGGGCGGCGGCGCGCGGCGTGCAGCGAGGCGGGGCCGGGCGCGCGGCCGGACGGGGACGCCGAGCGCGACGTGGCTGCGGACAGACGCTCGGTTAGCGCGCGCGGGTGGAGGGGGGTTGGGGGAGGGGCGCGGCGGCGCGGACACTCACGCTGCGACTGCGACACGCCGGGCCGGGAGCGCGACCGGCCGGCGCCGCGCTCGGGGCTGGGCGGGACGGCGGCCGCTGCGCCCACCGGAGATCTCTTCGCTCGAGCTACGTACAGATGCAGACATTTAAAATAACAAATTACATTGTCGTGCGACCAAGGCAAGCGAGATAGTTTTGTGTTTAGATTTTTGTAAATGTTTTCTGGTATCGGGCCTGGTCGAAATGATTATTTTTTGTTATGTAATTCCAGATGTGTGTTCACGAGTGTGAGATAATATTTTTAACAAATTACTAACAATTGCTGACTTTTCACGCAGAGCTTCACTTCGTGTTGCACTGAACTACACTCGCAAATTATATTAAAATCATACAGATTGTTCCAGATACCTTGCTGCGCCAGCTCTCCCTCTTCAGGTGAAGCAACGAAACAAAGACATTACACATTTATTTTTCACATATTTACATTTAACAATGTTAAAATGTACATTTAAAATCATAAATTCTTCAGGGCGTTCTTGTAGTCTTCAATAAACTGAAAGTGACAGACTTCATGAAGTTCAAGAAACACCTCACTGGAGCTAAGGCGTGTTGCGGGGCGGGTACTCACGCAGGCTGGCGGTGGCGGCGTGCGTGCGCGTGCGGCCCATGTGCGAGTACAGCGCGCGCGCGCGGGCCCGCTGCGCCGCCGCCGCGTCCACCGCCGACACCGACCGCCCGCCGCGCTCCGGGGCTGCGGGGGGAGCGGGATATACGTCACGGTGGGGGGCGCGGGGTCGGCGCCCGCCGCCCGCCCCCGCGCGGCCGGGGGGCGGGAGGGGGGCAGCGCCGGCTCCTACCTCGCAGGGCGACGGGGATCTGTGTGACCGCGACTCTGTCCTGGGAGGCTCGTCGTCTCCTCAGGGAGTGACTCCTGTTCAAACTTGACACTAAATTCTCAGTGGAAGCTATCATGTAGTTATCATACCCATACAACATCCGATAGTAAGCGTGCAAAGAAAGATAATTCCAATTAGGTTGCATCACTTAGGATACATAATAATATGTAATGATATATTACGAGTATATTGGATAGGTCTACGATTGGTGACAACTAACATCAATGCAACGTCAATTGGCTCTTGACATTGCGATAATGAAGTTGTATATTCCAGAATAACTAGTTCTAATGTATTGACATGACAATTGGGGGGTCGAACGTTGGACTTATGGATGTGTGTTTGTAATGAATAATTCTAAATGAACATTAAATTTAAAATATGAACAAGACATAGGTTTTGATTTATTTATAATTTCATTTTCATTTAATTAACAATTCAATTTCTAATTATATATTGTACAAACCGACACCCATATTTATATATAGACACTATTTTTATCTGAAGTTCATTTCTAGTGTATTATTTTCACGAGACATTTAGTGTTAATTCAGTGAATGAACTAAAGATGCTCATAATGGCAAAGGTCCAGTGGCACAGTGTGTGGCAGGACGAGCCCGCGCGCGCACATTGGGCTCAGGGCGCGAGCTCGTCCGGCGCGGGGGACAGCGGGGAGCACACGTTCCGCACCTGACACGCTGGCCGACGGGCTGCGCGGGCTGCAGGCGGCGGCTCTCCTCTCTGCAACGTCACAACAACCGTCAGCTAGCACGGAGGCACCGCACGACACAACCTCCCTACGCTGGTTTAATGGATTCTGCTTGTAAGTTGCGGTTCGAAGGACCAAAATGTAGAGTGCGGTGTGAGTTTGTTATTTAAAGATTATGTTGCTTAAAAATGTTTATTGTTAAAATATTAAGTAAATCAAAGAAATGTTAATGTTATGAATGCACCCGGGTGACGTGGTTGTTGATCGTGCGATTTGTAGAAATAAAGTTAACGCGTCACGCGAATTATGCTGACAAAGGTATTCGGTAATATATCATCGAACACTGCTGTATGCGCATATGGCACTTCTGGCAGCTTTTAGCTAAATATTTTATATTTTACTATTTGTGGTATACATTTGAGATACCTGGGCAGTGACGTGTAAGCCAGCCACTCTGTTCTAGTGTACCCACGGACCCTACGGTGTACGGTATGAGGCCTGAGACCCGGCGCCGGAAGATCGCTTTTGGTTATCTATTTAAATCTATAGCTAATTTGTGCTATATATAACATCCAAGCTGATGCGGTTCTTTGATTGTCGTGGACGTGGTGAGGTGGGGTCGTGGTGACGTACCCGTGCCGAGTCGCTGTAGCCCGTCGAGGCTGCCGACGTTGCCGACGTTCCTCTCCCGCTCGAGTTGCTTCTGGGCCGCAGCGTCCAGCCGCTCGAATAGCAGCTCGGCCTCCGCAGGAAACAGTCGCTGGTAGGACCAGTACGCTCTGGGGACACAACCTCAATATATAAATATATATATATATATATTTGTTGCGTAGATGGGTGGACGAGCTCACAGCCCACCTGGAGCCCATAGACATCGACAACGTAAATGCGCCACCCACCTTGAGATATAAGTTCCAAGGTCTCAAGTATAGTTACAACGGCTGCCCCACCCCTTCAAACCGAAACGCATTACTGCTTCACGGCAGAAATAGGCAGGGTGCTGGTACCCACCCGCGCGAACTCGCAAGAGGTCCTACCACCAGTTAACAGATGTACAGATGCCTTTTAATCATGTTGAAACAACATGTCTTTGGCTACAACACTTCGCTCATACATTTAACTAAACTTGTTTTTATAGATTTCAGAACAAAATTCGACTATTTCATTAAAAAAGCCCATAAAATAAAAAAGTTTAAGTTGTGACACCAGTGTGTTCGGGTCCACGCCCACTGAGCTTCTCGCCGGATCTTCTCAGTGGGTCGGGTTTCCGATCCGGTGGTAGATTCTGGAGAAGCACGGCTCTTGCTAGGGGCAGTGTCAGCAACGTCGTCAGGTTTGAGCCCCGTGAGCTCACCTACTAGTTAAGGCGACGCTGATATAGCCTCTCAAGGCTATCAGATTAAGTAGGAAAAAAAAAATGGGGTCCAACCTTCGTCCGTGGTTCCTGGCGGTGCTGTCGGCGTCCACGCAGGCGACGCGGATGGCGTCTCGGATATTTTGCTGCTGCTTCTCTATGGTCTGAGCCGGCCACTTCTCCAGTATCATGACTAGTACTTCACTGAAAATATTCATTGAATCAATCAGTACTTGAACGTAACCATTTATAATCTATAAATATAAATCTATATATATAAAAATGAATTGCTGTTCGTTAGTCTCGCTAAAACTCGAGAACGGCTGGACCGATTTGGCTAATTTTGGTCTTGAATTATTCGTGTTGGTACAGAGAAGGTTTAAAAGGTAGATAAATATGAAAATGCTCGGAATTAAATAAAAATAACAATTTTATGTATCCCCCGTTTGACGGATTCCTTTTGTTTGTTTTAAGTTTATTTCATACAAAAGTTTATGTCTTTTATTTATCGATTAAGGCACTACGAAGTCTGCCGAGTCAGCTAGTCGGTATATAATTTCCAACAGTTTTATGAAAATTGTTTGAAAAAGAGTTTTGAGTATTATTCCCAGAGCATTAGAAGCATTGCAATATGTGAATTACTAACCTGAGTGTAGAACGTATTTCCTTGGATTTATTTGAAGTTAAATTGGTGAGCAAGACCGGGATGAGCCTCGGTGAGTGTACAAACGATACTATGTACTGCACGCACACGGTGCCCGCCGACGACACCACCTGGTGGACGTCGACATCAAATTATTAACTCCCACAGCCTCCTGTTGCTATTGCCACCACCTTCAGGGATCACTTCAACTCCTGCCTCTTGAACATTGGCATCAAAGCATACACATTCAATGAACACAACATTACATCTCAGCATATCCGCAGACCACAGCTCCGTTTTTTTTCCTACCTATGCTAATAACCTTGAGAGGTTATTTCAGCTTCACCCTAACATGTAGGTGAGCTCACGGGGCTCAAACCGGAGTGTTGCTAACACTGGCCCTAGCAAGAGTAGTGCTTCGCAGAGTCTACCACCGGATCGGAAACGCGACCCACTGAGAAGATCCGGCGAGAAACTCAGTGGGCCGTCTCTATGGGTTAATTCACTTGTCGAGCCGTTAATGGATCCGGAGGATCCGAAATGACGTGTTTTGGGTAACATCGATTATTTACCATTCGGTCTACAGGATCGGGTATATAATTTCCAGCGGCCATGACAAGAGGGTTCTCATGTCGTGCCGCCTTCTCAAAGTGGCGAAGCTCCGTACTAACCTTAGCGGCGTTCTGTATGAGGTTGATCAGCTCCTGGAGTATGTACAAACTGAACTGTTCCATTTTATTCTTGAGCACTTTCGCCATGTGGGCTATCGTGATGCAGGCTTCGCGCACCACCTTCACGAAAAGAATAAAATATTAAATCTCAACTAGGAGGAACAGCCCTGTGCGGGCATGTCCATAGTGTGGCTATTAATTAGACATTTGATTGATTAAAATACAATGTCGGTATTTTACTAGGTATGTAGACACTAGATACATTTTGAATAATATTTTTACTATGCTAGTCTACATATATAAAATTGCATTGCTGTTTAGTCTCGCTAAAACTCGAGAACGGCTGGACCGATTTGGCTAATTTTGGTCTTGAATTATTTGCGGAGGTTCAGAGAAGGTTTAAAAGGTAGATAAATATGAAAATGCTCGGAATTAAATAAAAATAACAATTTTGTTTTTATTTTGATGTGTCCCCCGTCGGACAGATTACTTTTGTTTGTTTTAAGTTTATTTTATACAAAAGTTTATGTCTTTTATTTATCGATTGAGGCACTAAGAAGTCTGCCGGGTCAACTAGTTTTTAATAAATACATACCTGACTCCTCAAGTCCTTGATGACAACAAGAAATGGAATGGACAGATCCTTGAGATGTGCAGCGAACTCCACGGGGTACTGCTGGTGGACGTTGGCGGTGAGCAGAGCGCGGATCTTCTTTAACTGAAAACCAAGATGGCGGATGAGGGTCGTTCGCAGCGCAGCGAGTAGTGAGGCAGTGAGGTAGTGGTGCGGTGCGTACCGCGTCGACGCGCTTCTCCCAGTCGGCGGCGCGGTCGCCCAGCAGCGCGGCGGCGAGGCGCACGGTGTCGTCCAGCCCGCGCACTCCATACACGGCGAGGGGCGGCGCCGCACTGAAGGCCGCCTCGAACGCAGACGTGGAGACCGCCCCCGCCTCCCCCGCCGCGCCGCCGCCTCCCCCGCCACCTCCCCCGCCGCCTGACGACACTGCGGACCATCGTACCACTCAATTTACATCATTTTAATGACAACTTTTCTAAAGAACAAACAAACACAATATGTAATAAGAGTTATTCAATTATACCAAAAATTAGATTTGGAAGACTTCATAAACAAATAGTTTGGTCTGGTTATATAATAGTATGTGCGTTTAGATTCAATAGATAAATTTTATTTCAATCCTTGTTAAGAAATATAGAGGCAAACCAACAGATATCAGTGTGAGAATTCAATTAGAAATGGTGTGCAGATAAAAAATTCTATGAAATTGACAATAATCTATTGAGTTTCCACAAAGTAGAATAAGGATTTAAGGCCAATCAACTGTCAATCTGGATTTATCAAGATAACTGGAGACAGGACACTGTACACTAAGAACCCAACAAGTTCACCATGAATTTGCTCACATTTGTCAAACTAAGTTAAAACTACCCATCAGCACACTTACCACTGGTGGCGCTATTGAGTTTGGCCGGAGGGGGTGGCTTCCTGTTAGCGGAGGGGAGGTTGTACAACCTCGGAACTGTCCTCTTTGGGGGTTCGCATGCTGTTGTGTTTAGTTGTACAGTTTGAGTAGTTTGGTGAAAAAGTAGATGTTAGGTGTTTCAAAACATTACTTAGTGGTGTTATAAATTTTGAGGTATTTCGGCATATAGGGTGGGTGTAATAATAGCATTTGTTGATTATTTTTATAAAAGAGGTGGGTTAAATAGTCAAGATCAAGTTTGAAGAATCAGTAATAATTTAGAACCCGATGTGGAAAGTTAATATATAAATTAGATAAGGAATATTTTATTTTAATAATGGGTTTAGCCGTTCATTGGTAATAATTATAGTTGTAATTAATTTCAGTATAATTATGGGGTAGTTAGTTGGGTATAATTTTTGTTTTGGTTATATTGTCATGAAGGTGGATTTGGGGATTATGAAAAAAAAAGTATTCCGTAGTATTGTGTAAATTTGATTGAGAAAAACCATTGTGTGCAGTGACGACACTCAATGACCAATATGTGGGACAGAACATTTGATATATGTATTTATATTTATGAAATTAATAACAGAGTAAATGTTTTGTGAGAATTGCAAGTGATATATTATTTTAAGGGCAGAACAATTGGTGAAATTATTTATCAAGAAAGGAAAGTGTATTCAATGGACATTGAAATGTTTAGTTGGTGAGTGGTCGGCAGCCCCGGCACGTCCCGACGGTGAGCGATGGTGCGGAAGCATGGTGAAGAGAAAATTATTGATATTAGTTTCATTATATGATGACTCACGCATGAATATAACATTTTAAATGTTGTATTATTTAAATCAACCAATACTTTATTATTCAGATAGTTTTATTTTAATTAAATTATATGGTTCAGTAAAAATTCCCGAAATCAGATCCATATGGTCGGATAAGATGTACATAACCGACTACAGTGTGCACTTTATATACGTAACATTTTTAAAGTATTTTTATTTAAATACTTAATTGATCTGAAAATTATTGTCTAAATTATTGTTTGAAACAAGTTCACCGGCCCCTGTGGTTCTGATCTCGAGAATTTCTAATATCCAATTAAATTATGATCACCAATTAAAATGAATAATATGAGACATGCTCTCAAAATACAGTCACAACCATTATAGAGTGTTCTTCAAAGGGTAGATTAAGTCGAAAACTGTAGGTAGTGTTCTTTCCATTAGATAATCTGTTTGGCAAAAAAGTAATCCCAAGTAATTAGTTTCGGAATAAAGAGTGTTTCAACAAAAACGAACAAACCATTCTTCTGCCAGCCCTTGAATTGTGTTTTACGCAAGGTACTGTAATTTTATACGTAGCAAAAAATAAGGCTGGCCACATGACAAAAGATACGATTTTTTTTATTGCTTAATCTTTACAATACAGGTAAAATTTAGTGCAGAAACCTTTTAATCTCGTTCTGACACGTTTATATGAATGAATAGTGCAACAGTACTTTTATCTATAAATTTAGGGCTGTCATCGAACAGTTGAAACAATTAATAAATTAGTCTTTGTATAAAACTACTAATTATGACTTGGGATTTTTGCGTGAGTTACATTTTTAAATACTATGGGCAGGTTACGACTTAATAAACCCATTGGGAGACACCCTGTGTACTGTTCGGTGTGATGTGCGTCATACTTGGTTAGTGCGGAGACACAGACCTGGCGTGGAGGCGCCGGAGTCTGGCGCGGTGGCGGCGCGGCGGCTGCGGCACGCGTCCGTCTCGTCCGTGCCCGGCACGGCTGCAGACATCACACTATTACCAATCCCGCGTGGTATCGCCGCGAAACATGCATGCACCTTTTGTCCGACCTAAGCTGACGGTCTTGAGAGGCTTTTTACTGGTGGTAGGACCTTTGGGACTCCGCGCGGGTAGGTACCACCACCCCGCCTATTTCTGCCGTGAAGCAGTAATGCGTTTCGGTTGGAAGGGTGGGGCAGCCGTTGTAACTGTACTGAGATCTTAGAACTTATATCTCAAGGTGGGTGGCGCATTTACGTTGTAGATGTCCATGGGCTCCAGTAACCACTTTACACCAGGTGGCTGTGAGCTCGTCCACACACCTAAACAATAAAAAAAAAAAAAAAGGTGCATAATAGCAGACCCGGTCGTGGGTGCTGTGAAGCTAAAATACTACTTTTTGAACTGTACTCTTCAAATAACAAGAAACTCCAAAGATTTTATGATATTAAAGATATTGAAATGTTCAGCAGTAATTTTTTAGCTACAATATTGGGGCTATCTCCATACGAGGAGCGCATCTCTATAAACTTGCTGAATAATCTAAGTACCCATTAAAACAGCGGTCGGGGAACTTTTTTAATTATTACCCCAAAATATTTCTGTGTATGTTGATATTACCCATGCCGAAGAACAAAAAAAACGAGATCGCTTCTTTTTAGCATCTTACGTATTATAAGCCCACATGACCATTTTGGAAAAAATTAAAAATTTTTTTTCGGTTTGTTTCATGGAATTTGCAATCACGATTCTAAAGAAGTTTCACTTCAATATATACTTTTTACTCACAAAAGTTTCATTTCTACCGCCCAAAATTTCATTTTACCCCATTTGGGGTAATTTACCCCGGTTCCTCGAACGCTGCATTAAAATATAATGAGCACAAGATACCTGAAGGCAGTAGGAGCCCAGCCTCTCTCGTCTCGTCGAACTTCTGTTCTAGCAGAGCCAACTTCTGCGCCGGCAGTAATTCTTTCTTCTTCAAATCCTGTCTTAATCTTTCACCTATGGAACACATATCAATTATTATTTTTATTATTGTGTTTGTAAATAACAAAGGATGAATGTCTACGGGCAGTGTCTACGAATAAGTGTTATTTTTATGATGACTTCACAGTGGATTTCGGGCGCACCGTTGAGATGCACAACTGATTCCCTTATTTGTCAAAATATGATTAGCTTAAGAGCCGTGAGAAACCTGAGATTAGATTATTTGTTAAATTGAAAATAATGAAGTTGATTTTTAAACATTTATAATAATGAACGGCGCAAGTACTCTCTGGTCACACTGTAGAACATAGTTACCGATATAAATATGAGATCACAGTTTGAGATCAGAGGTACACAAGTGGTATGCATGTGCTCCAGTGATTTGTGAGCTGAGCACCGAGGATGAGTACTGTTTTTCCACCAATAAAAAAATGGTACAAAAAGATGACCAACAAATGAGTCGACTATTATCAAAGCCGGCAATGTGACTTTTGGACAATTATTGGTAAATCAGAAAAACGAATTATTGACTTTGTATTCCATTGGCAGTCACAAAACTCTTCTGAACGACATCTTAGATAAATAACAGGTTAAGTGTTAACCTTTATTTAATGCAGGTTTTGAACCGTATTTTTTTAAGGAGACGATTATATTCAAATCAATCTGTATTGACATATCAATAACATTTTTTTGTCCAAATGCACAGATTGCCACATTTGATAATAGACGACTCAAATACAGTACCGTTAGTTAAGTCAAGTATAAGACATAGTTTTGTGACAAGTACATGTTTCGGGGGCGACTCTAAGACGTGGGACGGGGGGCAGCAGCGTGCTCGCCTCACTCAAGAGGGAGCGGGGGGCGGTCGGCTCGCACTCACCGACGTGTCGGTACATGTCGGCAAGCAGCTGCACGGCGGCGTCGCGCACAGCCGCGCTGGGGTCGGCCGCCAGCGCCGCGATGTTGGGGACGGCGGCGCGCAGCTGCAACTCCACGGCGCCGTGTCTGTGGACCGACAACCACACGCGCTTATGTTAGCATAGCCTCGCAGCGCCTCCATACTGTGTCAGAGGATTAGTTGATTCGTTGCAGAAATAGACAGGGAGGCGTATGGAGCTCCCGACACGCTCTAACAGCAGTTTTCGAATGAAGAGCAGACGAAGTTAGATAGTAAGCGGGCGTTGTGACCTAAAGGATAAGACAGGTCCTGGTCGAGCGGCTGGACTGCCGTGATCTGTATCCCGCAGGCGGGGGGCAATATTTGTAATCAATTACCTTTTTTTTTTCTCCTTCCTAACCTGATGTTTTAAAAAGACCATAGAGGGATACTCGTCCTTGATGTCTATGGGTTCCGGTCATCATTTATCAGAATGTGAGACGAGAACTCGCTTAACAGTTAAAGCAATAACAAAAAATGTGTCATTAACTATGTGATAAGTACACAATGGTTATAGTGTACATAATGTAGTAGACATTACGTGTGCAACAGGGTGTGTATGCAGCGCAGCGCGTCCTCGCGGGCGTGCGGCGCCTTGTGGGAGAGCGCGGGGGTGAGGCGGGCCAGCAGCGCGCGGGGGGGCACCGCTCGACTCTCCCCCAGCGCCGCGACGCACGCGCGGGCCGCCTGTCTCACGCACTCCTTCGTGTCCGCTAGCCTGGAACACATTGGTTAAGCCTCATTCGCATACACAATAATTGTAAGCTCACTTTAATTCACTGCATCTTCCACTAGCGTTTTTTTTTTATTGCTTAGATGGGTGGACGAGCTCACAGCCCACCTGGTGTTAAGTGGTTACTGGAGTCCATAGACATCTACAACGTAAATGCGCCACCCACCTTGAGATATAAGTTCTAAGGTCTCACGTATAGTTACAACGGCTGCCCCACCCTTCAAACCGAAACACATTACTGCTTCACGGCAGGAATAGGCAGGGTGGTGGTACCTACCCGCGCGGACTCACAAGAGTTCCTACCACCAGTAATTACGCAAATTATAATTTTGCGGGTTTCATTTTTATTACACGATGTTATTCCTTCACCGTGGTATGGATATGTGATGCGTAGAGAGAAGACGCATGTTACTAGAAGATAGATGTATGGAAATGGTAGTGCAAGGTCAGAGGGGGAAGAGGTCGACCGAAGAAGACAAGGATGGAGTGTGTGAATGACGATATGACAGAGAGAGAGGAGTGAGTGTTGAGATTTATTTATTTAATGGATCACCAACAAATGAAACACTGGCTTTAAACATAGGGTACAAAAATATCAAAACATGACATGTGCTCACTTCATTATAGGTAATCACAGCTAACATCTAGTTCTAGTACCAAATGATTATAAAATTAATGATAAATAAATAAATAAATAAGATGACGGCTGATAAGAGAATGGAAGAGAAAAATTTGCTGTGCCGACCGCATCTAGTAGGATGAGGTGGAGAAAAAGAAGATCTTCCTGAACCGGCTTCACTGCGCTTGGATAGAAATAAGCAGTACAGTAGCTGAAAAGCCTCGCTGACAACATGCTCTATCACCTATACCTATATGTATACATTCAAAGTTGTTTGTGTCCAATTATACGACTCATTTATTGACGATAACTGTATTAATACCATTTATAGCATGTATATGTATTAACCGAATGTCTCCTGGTTCGTGTCTGCTGGTCGTGAAACGCATCAACCATTGGCTGGAGGTATATCATATAGTAAGTACTTCGCGACTATAACCTCACTAGCATGTATAAGGTTATATATAGCACAGTCCACCACGCTCCATTACACATCATCAATACAAGACAATGAAGCTTAGCAAACAGTGAACTCACTTCCTGTTGTCTGAGATATTCTATTTACTTGATAGTCTTAAAATGAAGGCACATATTAATTGGATGATCGCTGTGTGAGCAATCAGTAAGCGTCACAATCTTGTGAATGAAGATTGAGATGATAGGCCTTGAGCCAGGAGCAAGTAGATATAGCAGACTTTTTATATTAAAGGACCCCAATGAGGCAAACGGTTAAGAGATGTGAGGTAATGTATAATAAACAAACAGTTTTACATTTTATTTTTGTATAATTAGATTATAGTACAACGGTTGCTCTGCCCTTCAATCCGAAGTGCATTACTGCTTCGCGGCAGATATAGGCGTGGTGGTGGTACCTACCCGTGCGGATTCACAAGAGGTCCTACCACCAGTATTAAGACGCTGCATCTAAACGTCTCCACTGCATCGGATGAATGTTACGAGAACGCATAGAACCCGAACAAAAGCCACAAATTTCTTTTTTATATTAAACTAGCCGACCCGGCAGACTTCGTAGTGCCTCAATCGATAAATCAAAAGACCTAAGCTTTTGTATAAAATAAACTTAAAACAAACAAAAGGAATCCGACGGGGGACACATCAAATGAAAAACAAATTTGTTATTTTTATTTATTTCCAAGCATTTTCATATTCAACTACCTTTTAAAATTTCCCTGGACTTCCACGAATAATTAAAGACCAAAATTAGCCAAATCGGTCCAGCCGTTCTCGAGTTTTAGCGAGACTAAAGAACAGCAATTAATTTATATATAGATATAGATTATAGTTTTATCGTAAGGAATATGAATGTCAAAGATATCTGTGGCAGAAACATTGCGGGTCATTGAGAAGGTCTGCAAGAAGAACCAACTATTTATTTGGTTTGCTTTGCTTTTTTATTAGTTTATTACATTTATACTTTCGAGTATTGCGTAAAAAACATATATTTGAAGATTTTAATTAAAAATAAATCAAATCCGAAAACTGTCAAGCGACATTTAATACTGGTTAACATATTTATATTGTACCTGTCAATGATATGTGGCAAGACGGTAGGCACGAAGTGTGAGAAGTCTTGGCCGAGTCGTTCCGTTAACACTGTCAATACTTCAAGCCCGTTTTGGGCCACCTGGAAACAAAGAGAAGCTTTTGTTAAACGAGATAGTACAATTGACGAGACGGCTAGAATGATGAGAGCTAAAACTGTTCCAATGTGTGGGATTGTTTTTTTTTTTTTCCTACCTATGCTGATAACCTTGAGAGGCTATTTCAGCTTCGCCCTAACGTGTGTAGGTGAGCTAACGGGGCTCAAACCGGGAGTGTTGCTAACACTGACCCTAGCAAGAACAGTGCTTCGCAGAATCTACCACCGGATCGGAAACGCGACCCACTGAGAAGATCCGGCGAGAAACTCAGTGGGCTGTGTCTATGGGTTAATTCACTCGTCGAGCCCTTCGTCGCGACGGGTTCGACGAGGACGGCGACCGGTGCTTGTGGTGCCTAAAAGCAGCGTTAATGGATCAGGAGGATCCGTAATGATGTGGACTCTGCGATTGGTAGTTCACTTTGCATCAAACGAAGAATGATGTAGATTTCAGTTGATGAGGTATCCTTGAGTAAAAACCGGTGCGCAGGAAGTCACGAGATGTTTCCACTACGACACCAGTCTATGTCTTCTTGTACCATTAATTGTAAAATATATCTGCCTCATTTAACCGCTAATCTACATGTTGTTTGCTAAAATATTAGTTTTATTTTATTTTATTAGGCTCACAATACACATCACAAGCTAAAGATACATAAAAAACACAAATAAAAAGAAACAAAATCTGGCTTGCAACATAAGTTATGTGCGCACGACAAAACAAGACATATAGTGCTGAATTTGTATAACAATGTTCCTTACAATTATGACAAAACAACACAATAACAAAAACTAATCTAACGAATAATGTAAGGAANCTCGATACTGCACGCATTGTGAGGAGGTTTCTCACTCTGGAGTCCTAACCACTGGTGGCTTGTGTCGTAGACACCGCCATCAGCGGCAATCTATTTTTATATAGTGTTTTTTAAAAATTGTATTTTTAATATATTTTTTAAAAAATATTATGTAATTAATAAGATTTTAAATAAATATAAATAAATAATAATAATAATAAAAGTTTCGATCAACATCTTAAGAAACTTTCGTTATCCAGCTGGGTTAAGGGCCTAATACAGAAAGCAGTTATCCTCGATACTGCACGCATTGTGAGGAGGTTTCTCACTCTGGAGTCCTAACCACTGGTGGCTTGTGTCGTAGACACCGCCATCAGCGGCAATCTATTTTTATATAGTGTTTTAAAAAAATTGTATTTTTAATATCTTTATTAAAAAATATTATGTAATTAATAAGATTTTAAATAAATAATAATAAATATAAATAAATAATAATAAAAATATTATGGATTACAATAACCTCACAACACCTCTCGCTGTGGTGATGCGCACAAAAATATAAATATTCAATAAATACGATCAGAACGTGGCTGAAACCGCAGGCTACGTACGTCCAATTTTTAACCTCCAGTATAGTTTCATTGCAATTGTCATCGTCGACAGATGCACTTAAACAACATTAGGTGCCAGTTCCATGAAAATCGTTAAAACAATTCTCGAAGCGGAGGAAAATTTTAAAACAAAATGCTCATTAATCAACTTTCACGTCGAGGTGTCAATGGCCGACGGATTAGATACAGCGAACTGAATGTATTCCATCAAACGCATCGCTAATGTTTTATTGTTTCACTGTGGACGATCCAACTGATCTGTCTGAGATGTCTATGGGCTTTATTGAAGCGTCTAAGCAATAAATAAAAAAAAAATAGATGGGTGGACGAACTCACAGCCCAACCTGCTGTTAAGTGGTAATAGACATCTACAACGTAAATGCGCCGCTCACCTTGAGATATAAGTTGTAAGGTCTCAAGTATAGTTACAACGGCTGCCCCACCCTTCAAACCGAAACGTATTACTGCTTCACGGCAGAAATAGGCAGGGTGGCGGTACCTACCCGCGCGGACTCACAAGAGGTCCTACCACCAGTAATAAGGGTAGTGTGAGCTCGTACCGGAACGGGTTCCTACGCTCCAATCAAAGGGTTAGGACGGCCGGTATAACATCGTTCTCATGGTGGTATTCACCTCGTTATGTCTACGGGGTCCGACAATACTAAGAAGGCCATGAATACATTATACACTAACACACTACACTACACACTTGTATTTACTTGCATATTTTTAGTATTTATTTGTATTTGTATCGTATGTAAGTCTATCTTATATTGTATTTATTTTTCACAATGTGTATTTTTATGTAAGTTTATTAAGATATAGCACCGTCCAGTTTGCTTATTCCTCTCCCTGCAAGGTTGCCTGAAAGAGATCGCTTTCAGCGATAAGGCCGCTAATTTATGTCACCGTCTATTATTTGTTTTATAGGTATGCTTACTCTATACGTGTGGTGTTTTATTTTTTATTTATTTATTTATTAAGTTGCACCAACAAAGTGATCATCAATACAAAACATTGAACAATTGACAAAAGTTCATGGCAGATGTCACCTCAATTATAGGTGCAATCCACAGTGCATTAACATCAAAAATAAAAAAAAATATACATAGTGTTAAATAAATAGTTATATTATTATTATTACTAGAGGTCCCGCAGTAGTCGAAATTCGACTATAATTGGAATTGTAAGTTTGTACACTATTATGATTGTATTTTATACTTCTATAATCACAAATTTCGCCAAGGCTACACTATAAAAAATATTAATAAAGACCAACAATATTTAATATATTCTCAATTTGACAACAGACGTCAAGAACAAAAGTTTGACAATAAATAGTATGCATGCGTGTGTGCGTCAAAGTGTGTAATGTTTTCTTTATTGATTTAATGTATCTTTCATGCATTATTTTTAAAAAAATATTAGCATGGTACACTTCTTCTCTATATTCTCTTTAAGTGTGGAAAATTTCATACTCCTCCGTCCGCGCAATTTTCGTAAAAAGGGATACAAAGTTTTTGCTTCACGTATTAATATATAGATTATTATTAAACACTAATTGACGTCTATTACCGAATGTGCGTTGGAATTTTTATATCTCTGCTCACCTCTCACTTTTATAACGTTCGTGAAGATGAATAGCAAGCCGCGGGCGCACGAGACGCGACTCATACAATAGGCACGGCACACGACCACTGAGACGGAATGAAACAATGTATCGTTCAATAGCGCGTCCTTATTCTCCTTATTCACTTCACTTTGTTTTAAACAACTTCAAAACGTTTGTAAAGAAAAGATTTATATTCTTTTAAAAAGACAAATTATTTTTATTTAAAAAGAACTTGAAAAAATTATTAACCTTAAGATGTTATTATACAGTTAAAGATTTTTGAAGTGAAACTTCTTTTAGGCGCATGAGGGTAAAATTTTTACAGAACGTCACACAAGTATGCAACGGAAGTGACATCAAACTACTATTGAAATTAAGTACTTGTCAAATGTCAGTAGTAGTAGTAGTAGTAGTTGTATTTTTCCAACTGGAAAGGCAAATGTATAATACCATACAGCCTAATATTTTATAATTTTTTTGTGAAAAATGTTAATAGGAATTGAAATGAAATGAAAAGAATTTGGAACATTAATCAAATAGCATGAAATTAAATTAGTCAATTCAATTGGCAAAATATTAGTCATTTACAATTTAGAAATCTAAAGATAATGTGACTGTCAACACTGAGGTTTGAGATTGACATTTGACAGACTTTTGGCGGGAACATATCTTTCTTTTCCCTTTCTCTAAGTCTCGGAAATCTAAAGTTTTAGATTTGTATAAATATAAGCAAGACTTTTATATTAGTTCGCCAAAAAAGTTTCACTTCTGACATGTGTACTTAGTACGCACGCACTTTTTTTTAATGATAAATCATTATGTTAATTTTAAATTGGCTTCTTTCTGTTCTTTGTTTTCGTTTTATGACATAAATAACTAATTATTATTCAATTAATTTATTTTGTTGTATGATATTTTCATTAATTAACATATTTACTGACTGCATTTAATGTAAATAATCCTGCATAATATTTGCGCGCCGACCTAATAGAAACACGCTGTTCTATAAAATAACTATCAAAAACTTTGTAAACCGTGTTTTAGCTCATAAAGTTGATTTGATTTGATTTAAGACCACTGGATACTTAACCGTTTAGTTAACGTAGTTGTTCTATTAAAGCTCTTAATTAAAAGGCGAGAAGTTACTGAGACTTTAATGGAATTGTTGCGCAGAAACCGAGAAGAGACTTGTCCCATTTCCTCGCACTTCGCAACTAGTAAACTGATTAAAATTGACGCCATTGTCATACGATTAAACAAGAAGAGAAACTAAACTCATAAAATAAACTGGTATTGTCCGTTTTTTTTTATTGTTTAGATGGGTGGGCGAGCTCACAGCCCACCTGATGTTAAGTGGTTACTGGAGCCCATAGACGTCTGCAACGTAAATGCGCCACCCACCTTGAGATATAAGTTCTAAGGTCTCAGTATGGTTACAACGGCTGCCCCGCCCTCCAAACCGAAACGCATTACTGCTTCACGGCGGAAATAGGCAGAGTGGTGGTACCTACCCGTGCGGACTCACAAGAGGTCCTACCACCAATAAAACAGTAACAAGTTAGTTTGTTTATTAAAAAGCCGCAGAAAGATATTATGCGATATTTAAGAAACCAGTACAACGCCGTCGATTGAGTTTAAATTATCTTTTTTCTCAAATATTTAGAACCGCATTAGGCATCTGCGAGGGTATCTTAATGTAAACTACTATAACATAGCTCTCTGTTTATAATATTTTAACGCAATTTGAGGCTAACAAGGCAGTAAGTTTTGTTTGAACAAAACGTATCTAGCCTCACCCTTCTACTATCGCCTCCATCCTAAGGGTTGATATTGAAAGTTGAAAGATTGTTTTAAATCTATACTAATATTATAAAGAGGAAAGATTTGTTTGTTTGTTTGTATCGAATAGGCTCCGAAACTACTGAACCGATTTGAAAAATTCTTTCACTGTTTGAAAGCTACACT